ATAACCTCTCTGGTACAGGAGGGGTCAGAATGATGCAAATTCTGCACAGAAGGGGGGAGGAGACAGCTTTAACAGGCAGCTGTGCAGGAGAGCACAGAACAACTCCCTGGCTGGGACTGTGCTCTGTCCCTGCAGGGCTGCTCTGAACCTTCACCTCTCCCTCCCCAGGAAGGGCGTGCCAGGGCTGCTGAGGAACAGGGCTGTGGGAGCAGCCTGGACACCGGGAACGGGCAGTGCCCCGTGTGTGGCACTGCCATTGTGCTCCAGTGATTTACTCCCACACAGCAAATAAGGCCAGGCAGATAAAAGGAGGATTTAGGGAGAAGGCAGGGAAAGCCTCCCAAGAATAAACACTGTGTAACTAAGAGCCCAGCACAGAAAAGGGCCAGAGAACTGGCTACACTTCCAATGGCACAGCACACAAGTACAGGCTTCCTTGGGGATAAATGCATTCATTCGAATGGATTTGAAGTAAAGGGTTTGCTGTTATTATGGGAAGCACTGAGAGACTTGCATTTAAAATAAAACTACCCCTTCCATAGAAAGAGATGCTACACATTTTCTTCAATGCCAAGTTAAATTGCTCTGTACCGTTCTCTCTATCATATGTAACAATATCCTCCATTATCCCTTTTTGGGAAATCAGACTTTAAAGTGTTTAAAGTTCCTTAAAGTGTTCCCAATGAGAGTAATCTGATTTGCTTGCTTAGCTTACAATTCTACTATGAGACATGCCAGTAGTCTAAGCTTCAGATGATGATAACATATTCACCTGTTACTATTAACTTCTTTAAAAACTTGAAGTTCTGTGGTTTTTTGGGCAGACTTCTATGCAATACATAACTTCTCACAGTCCTAAGTAGAAAACAATAACCTGTACAAGCATAAAATGAGATGACATGAGTTCATCCCAAACAATCTGAGCACTTTTACAGATGAGGTTCTGCAAAGCAACATTTCATTTCACTCTGCATGAGCTCAGTTCCCTGACTGTCCTCATTCCTACTGCCACCAGTCCCTGCTCCCTGCCTGTCACTGCTCTTGGCCAAGGACATATTTATCATCTGCAGGTCTGTCCAGTCTTTTGTGTGATCCAGCACATGAACACCCACTGCCTCCATTCAAGTTTTGTGCCACCCGAAACAACTTGCCACGTTTCACCTCACAAACAGCAAATAATTGGTATTGATGACAATAGTCAAGCAGAAATAGTCCAGATTTTTTTTATTTACTGTCTAATTTTTAAAATAGAACAGTTCTAGAATGCCTAAGTATAAAGCATGCATTATCATTCCAACTGGAAATAACCTGCTATAGACACCTTCTTTTGTGCATTAGTGTTTCCTTCCTAGGGTTTTTCTTTCTTCATTTAATCTGATTCTGTACCAGTTAGGAATATTTCTATATTCCTCTCCTGTTCTTGGATTATTGATTTGGTCCATCCTGTTATATTTTACAGAATAAATGACAACCTGAGAAATTATTGAAAAGATCAGGACACTGTCTCCTGAAAGAAAAGTAGAACTATTTCCAAAGTAAGATAACCTAAAGCATAAGTTTTTAAAAAAATTTAACACTGATGAAATAAATAAATGGAGAAAATTATGCCAGAGGCCTCAATCTTGATATTTATAGGAGAATATGAGGGGAGGAAACAAGCCTCTGCATTCCATGCATAAAGGATTCCTACTCATTAACACATATAAATGCTGATGGATAATTAAGTAATTCGGGAGACAGACCATGCATACGGGAAGCATTTCTGGTATTTTATGACCCTTTCCACTGACCTATGTAATTACTCCGCTGCTGATTAATGCAGCAACATAAACCCTCTGTGAACGTCTCTATTATGAAGTGTATTTCAATTCTAAATGACCTTTCTTTTTATTTATTACACTGAGATAAAAAAAAAAGGTTGTTAAATTCTTTTATTCTCTCCAATGCTGTTAAAGAGAAAAAGAATCCATAAACTTTATTAAGTGATCAATTTTTAAGCCACCTACAATGTAGTATAGAAAACAGAGCCAACTTATATTTGGCAAGAACAATTCATGTCAAACCAATCTAATTTCCTTTTCTGACAGGGAAAATGGCTGAATGGATAAAAAGAAGGAGTAGATGTGACATTTTAATTGTAGTAACATTGTTATATGTGGCATTCCTATAAACAATACTTATAAGTCATAAGACTATATTAGAATACATGGATGGTGTCCCCTGGAGCTGGAGCAAAACTTAGTGCAAAAAAAAGGGAATTTAGGGAACAGCTGGTAATGATTTGTCCTCAGATAGAGTCTATCAAGGGAAGGTCACCAGAATCTGGCCTGGGACCTCACCAGTGTGTTCATTTGGGCTCCCAGCTTTTGAAGGAGAAATTACAAGTGTGCAATGGACTCCAAACTGGGGGGGAATGAGCAGTTTGGAGGTTAGTCCCAATAGCATCCTGAGAAACTGGAGAAATAATCCATAAAGGCAACTGCTGAGCTTCAGTAAGAACAATTGAAAAGAACTATACCTGGGAAAATGAAATCAAGTGCCTCAGTACAAAATGAGAATAACTCCCTGGGCATCACTGCAAAAGAATGGGACTTGCCTGACTTTCTAAACCCTTCTGTATTCAGACACTGAATTTCCTTTAATAATATGGAACTATAAATAGGAGCAGCATGTAAAGTTCATAGACTGGACTCAAACATGATCCTCTCTATAAGGAATGAGCCTTTAGCTGGAGCAAACCTGTGGCAGAACAAGCCAGTTAAGGTGAATTCTCAGGAGACACCCCTGCAATCTTAAATGCTCTCTGCAGGATACTCAAATCCCCATCCCCTTCTCTCCACTGCTACCTCGCAGCACTACTTCTTGCCAAGCCTAGATCCTGCTCCCAGACTCTGTGTGGCACCTGGCAATGGAGAAAGCTCACTGGAGTACCAACTTCAGCACACACTGACCTGGATAACGCTGCCATAACACCAGGGACAGTCGGGGGACACAGCAGCTCTCCCTCCATCTCCACACCTCGGCCAACTCAGCAGCTCCCCCTCAGCAGCACTCCCAGCACCTCACCCGGGCTGCACCGCGGGTCTGGATCTCTGCAGACAGGAGGGGACTCCCTGGGAGCAGGAGGAGTTTGTGGGGTGAGCAGCACGAGTGTGAGCAGGGCAAGGGAGTGGGACAAGCCTTGGTGCCAGAGGCTGTGTGGGGCAGGGACAGCTGGTGTCCTGCCCCACAGCAACCCTGAGCTCTGCACCACCGAAATGAAACACCTCTGTGCCACCCGTGCAATGTGAGGAATGATGGCACTCCAGTTACTGTGCATATGACCACAGGCATGCAAGCCACAGTCTCATTAAGTGCCTCTGAAAGTGCTGGATCCAAGAGCTGTATTACATGGATGGGGAGATGGAAGTGCTTTGTGGTCAAAAGGGAATCTGAAAGGGTGGGAACTGGCCTGGTCAATGTACCCTGGGATTAAAAAGGGGTGTAGTTCCCCAGTGGTCAGTCCAGCACCATTCCTGAGCTTTACACTCCCTTTAAATTAGCATGCAATTTAAAAATAAATATTACAAATTAAGGTTATCTGACAAGGAGCATGTAATTTACATTTTTAAACTCACAGTGTATGTTTTGATGTAACCCATAAAGTTCCTGCTCTGCAAGTCCCAGCTGACATTCCTTTTTGCCTTCAACTCATTCATCTCTACCTGTTAAAGGGGATTCTTTTATCCTTCATCATACTTGGGAAAAGCAATTCTGCAGGACAAGAAGTCTTTGGTGCTCATGCCAGGGAGAACATGAGACTAGACAAGTAGTGTGATCCTCCCTAACATTAAGAGTTTTCTCATTTATCTAGATATCCCTGACAGTCACCTTGGACATTACGTGCCCTCATAGTGTTTTTTAAATCCTACAGATGTTTAAATAAATGCTTTTATCTTCTGCAACCACACAGGTATTAACATACACAATGCTTAAAGAAAGACACTGGATAAAACGGTTATTTTTAGAATTTCCTCACTTCATAAAACAGTACAATAGCTACGATGCCACAAATAACTCACTATGAACTCTTCTTATAAGCAAACAGAGGAAGTGTAAGTTTAAGAAGAGACAAGGAGTTCAGAATAGACAATGTATTAAAATACTAGCGTTAGTAAAAATATATATAAATATTGCCTTTGCTTTGGGTCAGTGAAAATTTACATTAGATGTTAATCCATAGGTCAATTTGAAACTTGGGCAGAAAAGCCTAGCACACTTAATAACCATCAGTGAGTCCAAGTTTCGTCTGAGACAAAAAGCAACAAAACCAGTGAACTATTAAATTCATGACCAACTTTCTGACTTTTGGAAACATTTATTTATGTTATTACAAAAGTGGAGTTTAGTTGGATAATGTATTTTTGTTTGAGATTCCCTCTATATTATTTTGTGGATTCAGGAAAGTTTCAGCTTCTCTCTTCTGGAGTATTACCTATTCTGTCAGAGAAGCAGCAGTGAAGACAGCAGAGTTTAAAACCACTGGCCAAAAGTTGGCCCTGTGTGCTTTCCCCCAATTCCTATGACAAGTTGAAGAGCTTTCCCAAGACATGGAGTGTCAGCCATCTGCTTACAGCTGGCTTTGGATGTGACCTAATGAGCAGGAAATAGGGTGAAAAAAAGAAGTGTGTTGGAAATGGTTTCTGAAGGAGTGTCAGCAATTTGTTTTGGGCTTTCTTGAAGCATTATGATGTCCTTTTGAGACATCACTGAGTCCTGTTGCTGTGTGTTTGAGGAGTAACTTCAGCTCTCTGCAGATCAGCACCCTTACTTTGGCCTACCTCCCCCTGAACGCTGCCAGCTCTCTTATGGATCCCTACCAAGAAAATGGACAAGCAGCTTCTAATTTCCCTCTGGCTAGACTTTACAAGATGTACCTGGAGACATTTAATAAGCCCCAACCAGTGATTTTCAAACTAACTTTGTGATTTTATAGGCACTTTTGATGGACTCAGACTTACCTGTAGTGCTGCAGTTCCGATTCCAGCTGCTGGATGTGTGTTTGCAGACGTGGCACCTCGTTGGCTTTCACTTCCAGCTCCCTCACTTTGCCAAGGCTGTTCAGGACGGCGTGTCTCGCCTCTTCCACCTTCCTCCTCATCTCTGCCTGTTCCCTCTTCAGGTTACGGTTGCAGTCCTCCAGACTGACCAGGGCTTCCTGGGAGCTCCTCAGCTCCCTTTCCAGCTCCTGGTTGAACCTGATCGCTTCTTCGATTTGCCCATCCCTGGAGCTCCGGATGAGCTCCATTTCCTTCAGGACACTTTGGAGGCACTTGCTCTGGGAGTGGTTCTGTGGTAATGGTCTCTTACTCCCCATGGAACAGGTCCCCTCTTCCCTGTGGTTCGCATGGCTCTTCCGCAGTCCCACCTACAACGACCAGGAGCAGAAAGCAGGAGAAATCATTGTGTCCAAAGCAGCTGACATTTTATCAAGACTGAAATCTCTGGATTGTAGTTTTTTGGGTTTTTTTCAATCACATATAGCTGATCAGCAACTAATAAGCTACTTACCTTTGTGAAATAGAGAGACAAGGAAACATTCTCTGGAAAGTAGTTTTTAATATGTATCTGTAAATTTAATTTTCAAACTATTTGTTATTAGGTTATTGCACAACTGTCTGTATAGCTTTAAAGTCATTACTATGGTCTGTCCTCAGAAGGCAAGTAGTGTTCTGAAAGAAATATTTCCAGTTAAGTCAAAGTGTTCGTTGTAGAACTGAGTTCAGTAGAAGCGAGCTGGGGGAGTTCTCGAGCTCTCATCTATGGCCTTCTGATTCTTTCTGGGTTCCCTGACTGATGACTTCGTGTTTGCTTTTAATTTCCTTTCTCTTTTCAGATGAAAATGTAGAAGTGGCTTTGACCTGCCATGCTGGACATTGTGAGGAGGCACAGCCAGCTCAAGGAAATTGCAGTGTCACACGTGGAGCAGAGTTCTGTGAGTGCTGTGTTAGTGGGAAATCTGACGTGATCAGAACAACTAGGGAACTCTGCCCTTCACTGCTTTGCCTGTTCCATGCTATTTCATGCCAGAGTAATTTAACTGCTGCTAAGTATGTACGGCCAGTACAGCAGAACCACCAGGAACCAGCCCCAGAATTAATGGGGCTCTGCAGAGGAGCCAGAGACTATTCATCAGCCTGTCTGCAGAACTGGCTCCAGCTCTGAACTCTCGTGACCACACTCTGAACAAAACACACTTCTAATGTCTCCAAGGCACTTATAACTGAGACACTGCATGTGCTTGTATAGGTAAGAACCCAAAAGTTCTTTCTGACTTTAGGAAAAAGCCCTGTAATGATGCATAACCAGTATATAACTGCCCGTGCATGTGCACTTGAGGAGTGGTATTACACACCTGAAGTCCCCTACACTTTTAGCAGGGTGCTTTTCAGCTTATCCCTTAACCATATACAATGTCACACTGGTGAAAATGCAACATTTGTCCTTAAAACCTCCACATAACCAAACTTTGCTAAAAATTAATGCCGAGGATGAAAGACCAACCTCGGTCTATGCCATACTCCTTTTATCCATTACACTGGGGGCACAGGGCTTATTAGCACTGCATTTCAGAGAGCAGCATCTTTCTTAATAGACTGAACCAGTCACTTGTTCACAAGCGTTACTTGTCAGACTGGATTCTGCGGTGCTGTCGTTTCGCTCGCGTTAAAGAGGAACCAGAGATAAGTTAGTTATGAAGTCAGAAACACACTTGGAGCTCAGGCTCGGCTGGGATCCTTTTCCTGATGGGCAAACGGAGTTTTGCCTGACACCCCTCCGCGAGGGGAGCGGGAGCGGCCGCACTCACCTGCAGCGCCAGGCAGCGCGCATCGCTGCTCTGCAGGGCGGCCCGCATGTCCTCCACCAGCTCCCGCAGGCTGCCGTTCTCCTCCTCCAGCTTGGCGATGCGGTCCTCGGCCTGCTCCAGCGCCACGATCTCCTCGTAGCACTCCGGGGAGCAGGGCCCCGCCGGCCGCCGCTCCGGGCCCGCCCGCCCGGCCGGGGGGTGCCCGCGGCGGCGGCGGCGGGGGCTGCGCAGCCGGATCTGGGTCTCGATGTGCTCGCTGTCCCGGCCCAGCGGCAGGCGCGGCTCGGCCCCGCCCGCCCGGGTGCTGAAGAGCCCGCAGAGCCGCGCGTGGAACTGCCGGAAGGTGAGCCCGGCCGCCAGCCCGTCCCACAGCCCCGCGCACTCCTCGGGCTCCGCCGCCTCCTCCAGCCCCAGCACCTGGCACAGCGTGCGGAAATCCTCGCCGGGGATGCGGCCGGCCCCGGCGCAGTCCAGGTGGTGGAAGATCTCCTGCAGGTACTGGTCCAGCCCGGTGGCCAGCACCACGATCTCGTTCTCCACGCCGCGGTCCAGCCCGTAGTGGTAGGCGAGGGCGCTCACCAGCCACTGCGTGCGCCGGGCCGGCCGCCCGTAGGGGTCCCAGCCCTCAGCCGGCTCCATCGCGCTCCCCGAGCATCCCGAGCCCGGCCGAGCCCGCCCCGCACAGCCCCGCTCGGCCCCGCCCGGCCCCGCACAGCTCCGCCCGGCCCCGCTCAGCCCCGCCCGGCCCCCTCGGCCCCGCTCAGCATCGCTCAGCCCCGCCCGGCCCCGCACAGCTCCGCCTGGCCCCGTTCAGCCCCGCCCGGCCCCGTTCAGCCCCACCCGGCCCCGCCTGGCCCCGCTCAGCCCCACCCGGCTCCGCTCAGCCCCGCACAGCCCCGCACAGCTCCGCGACGGGGCGGGACGGGAGAGGGCCCGGGCTGTTCCCACGCGGAGCTCCGGGCTCGCCCCTCTGCGGGAGCCGCGTTCGGCTTTGTCTGTCGGGAAAAGGGCTTCAGGCGGAGCGGGCAGGTGCGACCCTGCTCCGTCTGTCTGTCGGGAAAAGGATTCCAGCCGAGCCTGAGTTCCAAGTTTGTTTCTAACTTGATAACTAATGTACCTCTGGTTCCTCTTTAACGCGAGCAAAAGCGATAGGATAGCAGAATCCAGTCTGACAAGTAACTGAGTGGTTCCACTAAATTAACAAAACTAACGTGCTTAAAAGACAATCATCTTTCTGTTCACTCAGGCTTCCTCATCTCTGTAGATGTGGTGACTTTATGATATTGGTATGTGTTTTTTAAGTCTTCTGTGATAGAGATGAGTAAGTGTTAGACTGGTTCAGATGGCCGAGCTTTCCAAAGTGATTTTAATCTCTTCTTGGCTGTGGAGTAGGACCTGTGTTGTTGAGTGCAGCTACGAGCAGGGCTCCTCCACCAGAGTGCCACAGGTGACAGCGGCACCAGCTGTGCCCAAGGTCTGAATATGGTGGCACAGTCGGGGTGGTGCAAACAGACCCCATTAACAGCCCAGACAGGGCACAGTGGTGAACGAGGTCTGGGTCCCATTTTCCTCCTGTTTGAAGAGATGCATAACTTGTAATGTATTTTTTATCAACTTGAGGAGTGATCAGATGCATATATATTCCTTATTCACTCTCATAGCCATGTTTACCTATAGAACTTGAGTTTTTCATAGTCTGGTATTGTTGTTAATGCAAGAAATTGCCTTTGGGTCAAAATGTTCCGGTAATGTGGCACCAGAGAGAGGCAGGAAAGACAAAGCTATAAACCTTGAATGTTTCTAGCAGATACTGTGGAAACCCACTCACATCAAACCACTGACCCCAAACACGAGCTAAAGCATCAAGGGCCCAGAGTTTAGGCAATGCAACGATCTAAACTTATTTTGGCCTGACTAGTTTCATTGTAAAAATGTTTACCAAATGGACCTAATTGATTTAAAAGCTGCCAGAATCTTTACAGGCTATAAACCTGTCAGTGTAAATTGTGCTTAGCACCTATGGCTTCCAGTTGGGTGTCTTGGTGGTGTTCCTGGATGGAAGAGCGGCATCACTGGGAATAGTGGGGAACATTTGGGGCTCTGTTGAATTCCTTTTTGTTCATCTGAGGGCTTCTGGTTTGAACGAGCAAAGGGCATAATGGCACGGCAAATCTTTGGCTTTCTGTGTTATCACTGCCACAGGGACATGAGAATGACAGAATGAGATCAGTTCACCTTCACCAAAGTTTCGTCTCTGAGAAAAGGCAGATTCTTGATACCAGCAAAATACCCCAAACCTTTGACTCTTGGATTTTGTTTGATTTTTCAGGAAAAGCTCTGACTGTAATTGGGTCATGCATCATGTTTACTTAAAAAACGACCACCTGCCCCAAGACTTTTAAACACGAGACAAGTGTGAAAGCAGTTGGACCAGAGAAAACTCTGTCAATTCAGCCCCTCTGTGACAAGGGGGCTGTGTTTGGCAAAAGAAAACTTTCCTTTCCCTTGGCCTGCTTTTCTTTAAAATTAAGCTGTGAATTGCCCCACACTTTACCTTTTTGTCCATGATTCTGATATCAGAGGTACACAAAAGCCTGTCTGTCACAGTGTAATTGCAATGTCTCTTATGTTACTCGCAGCTATAGCAAGACAAAGATTTTACTCCTGACCCAGACAAGATTTACCCGTTCCTTGACTTACTCTATAAAGCTGCTTAGAGAGACAGGAGCATTTTATCAAGGAATCGAGGACTTTTTCTTTATTAAGTTGTTCCCAGTTCTGAAAGTGCACTTGAGCATGAAACTGTCTTGAAGGAGTCCCAGTTTTAGAAAGAGCTGATGGGAAAGCAGGATCTGAGCAAAATGACTCTTTCTACAGTGCTGTGGGAATAGGTGGAAATTAGAAGTGTATTAAAATGCTGCTTTTTAATATCCACTTAACTGGATATTTTTATTATAAGAGGCTAAAAGGTGCCATGCTCACACTTTAGCTTGTTTGGCAACTCGTTGATGGAATAATGTTTTAAATTGTATTAGGTAGTCATGGGGTTAGTTAAGAGATATAAACTACATTTATAGACTTGAGATTAAGTTAACCATACTTATATTTTATTCCATGGTTCATAGGTGTCTCATAGGACTGAGGATCAGCACAGTTTGCATTTCTGTCTGGCATTCCAGGATATCAATAATCTGGTCTCATTTGTGTGGCAAGTTGTTGGTCAGTGCAGAGAGGCAGCCAGAACTGTGGGGCTGTGGAAGATACTCATCTTGCCAGAAAGATCACTTTATTGCAGTAAAAAATATATTTTATTCCTTCCAGACTCTGTCCTACTGTTAAGGAGAAAAGTGAAAATGTAGTGCTAAGTACCTAAAATTTGTTTTCCAAACCCTTTCCAACAAAGCCATACTGTGATGTTATCGAACCTTTAAAAATGGTTGGCTCTGAAATGGTTGCTTTCACGAGGACCTTCAGTGCAGAGTTACAATAACATTAGTGAGCAGTGATGTTCCTGGCGTGTTCTTGAAGTTACTCACAACTCCAGAAATGTTGGGTGTTGTCTTTTTGTTTGCTGGGTCTGGTGTACTGCGAGTGCTCTGTGTGTGCGGTGAGACAAAGAAGGGAAAATGAACATCCCAGTGTGCCCTGGAGTCCTGCTCCTGCCTCCAGCATGGCTTCATTTAGTGCTTGCACAGGCAGGATTTCAGGTGTGCATCCAGGAGTGTGGAGGTACTGCTGAGAAACTGTGCCAAAGGCTGGAAAGGTGTTCTATAGCTTAGGGACATGAAGAGCATATTGACTGGCTACAGGAAAGAGTTTCAGGTGCTTCTAAAGTAAGGAAAATATCTTTGTTAAAACCAGACAAGAACTAGTCTCTGGAACCCTTCTTGCTGTGGAGATGATGGGAAACCAGAGGGGTAAACAAAAGGCCTGACCTAATTGCAACTCGGTTTTTATTCTGAGTGATATTACCTTAGACTGTGGTCTTTGTCTTGGCATAAACTATTTAAAGGGAAGAAATGATGTGTTATGTAGTCTGCAGAGGCAACAGCTGCAGTTCTCAGTAACCAGGTGTTGTATTTGACATTTCTTAGTCATTCAGCATCTGCAACAGTTTAAAGGCTCTCCTACAGTAATTGGAAAAGAAAAATCTACTGCTTTCAAGTTTATTTATTGGTGCCCATAGGGTAAATATTTCTTTTTTATGAACAAATTTTGAAGTAAATGGAGGGGGAAAATTGGAAATTCACAATAGGATAAGTGGGACCAGAATTTGGCTTGTAGTGCTTCAGTCAGTTTTACTCCTGGCATTCTGTTTCTCTAGCTGATGATTTTGGCAGAAGTTCCTGTGCAGGCTGTAAGGAGCAGATGTGATCTGAGCCTCTGCTACAAGGTGTTGACTCCTCTTAAGAGTGTGTATCTACATTACTTCAGAAAAGTGTTTTCTTTCTGCAACATTGATGCCACCTTAATTGCTGCTGTAAATTAGACTATAGGTTCTCAGGATAAACACGCATGATACAGGTTTTTCCTTTTTAGAACGCTTTTTCTCCTGGATATTCCTAAATACCAGAGATTAGTAAGTTTGTGTGTACAGGTGAAGGAATGGAGGTGCAGTGACTGTAAAGAGCAGATGCAAGGAAGGTGGTGAAGGCTTCAGTCTTGGTTTTGAGATGCATTTTGTGTTAGTTCCCATGACATCTAAAACCTGAAATCCCTGGATAATCAGAATCAGTTTCCTTGGCAAGTTGGACACCTTAGTGCACAGTCCCCCCAAATGCCATGCTGGGCAGGGCGCTGTGCGGGGTAAGGTGACACCAAGAGTGGGGGTGTCCCCTACTCCTTGTTATTCTGAGGTTTTGGGGCACTGCTGAGGATTGACAGCCCCGAGCCTTTGCCTGAGAGGAGCTGTGAGTGAGGAGCTGATGGTTTCAGTTCTGCCATCGAGCGGGGACTGTGTGTCCTGTTCACTGCTTGCTGAGACTCTTCATGCACTTTTAATAAACCATGGCAGATTTTAAGACTCTTTTTTCCTCTTTAGCTCAGGAAGTCTCACACTCCTTTCACAGTGGTGGAGGTTCAACAGAAAGAGCAGAAGATGTCCCTGTGCTCTACCTCATGTCCAGCCCTGGTGGTTTGCCCAGTCTCGCTCCTGGGGTCAGAAGATGCAGGTCCAGCAAGGCCTTGGGGAAGACATAGACACAGGTCTCCTGCCTGCAGGGTGAGCGTGCAGGAAGGTGTGACACACTGCCCACAGCCTTTTATTTCCTCACAGCTGTGTTTAAAACAGAAGTGTTGCAGTTTGGATGCAGCCCAGCCTGGTAGGTGTCCAACAGGTATATCTACAGCTCCTGTGATCTGAGGGCTGAAGTGGAAGACTGGCTGTTGGGATTTGGGTCCTGAGCTGGTGTAGGTGTGAAAGGAGCACCAAGCTGAATCGTTTCAAGATTTGGATCCTCCTCAGCTTTTATGTGCTTTTCAGATTCCTGTGCAAAATTCAGGAGCTCTCATTGTGTTTGTCTGAAGGAGATTTACCAACCCCATGCCTGAAGGCAGCGGTGGATGTGGGCATGGCACACAGGGATCCATGTGTTCTCTTGTTCATGGAATACACCTTGGAATGTTGAAGCTTTTATCCATCAGCAAAGTGTTTCATGACAGTCATATTTTTATTCCATTGGCATTTTAATTTCTGCTGAGCTGTTTTTTTGCAGACAGAAGGGAGACTGCTGTTCTTTTCCTCCTGTTCTTCAACTATTGCAAATAAAGTTCTTTGAGGAGACTCAGCCAGCACCCAGCTGTACAAAAATGAAAGTAGCAAAGGAATCCAGGGCAAGGGAGGAGTCTTCAGCCCTTCCTGTTGAAGGTCTTCAATATGGAAACTGAACCTGGCTTATGGGTAACACATACTATTTGTACAGAAGAACAGATGCCCAAAGCTGTTGGTGGGCCCAAGTCCCTTTCAGTCCTGGCTGGAGGACTAGGTCAGCAGGCTCGGGGGAGGTGGAGGAGGAGGAGGAGGAGGAGGCAGGGGGATGTCAGGCAGGTCCTGCCTCCGTGGCTGGGGAACTGGGGGAGGGCGTGGGGGAGGTACGGAGGGCTGGGGCTCCAGTTTTCTGTGGGGCTGCTGGTGTTGAGCCCCTCTCCGAGACGTGTCCAAATGGACGTTCCTGGGGCTCTCTGGAGGTGAAGGGGAGCGGCGCAGTCCTGGCTGGTGTTTTGGGTGCCTGTGGAGAGAGGAGGTGGCTGAGGCCCAGCTGCAGGGGGCACACAGGGACTCTGCTGCCCAGCAGGGCCCAGAGCTGGCAAGGCTCAGCAGCACGGGGGAGCTGCTGGCACACCTTGGCCCCGGTGGACACCTGCCCCTCAAGGCCCCAGCGAGCAGGGGGATGGCTCTGGGCAGGGGCCCTGGGCAGGAGCGGGCGCCAGGGCACGTCTGCCTTCCAAGGGCAATCTCGTCCCCGCTCCTTCTCCTCCCCACCTTGCTTTGCCTCTGCCCGTCCTGCTGGGGCTGCTCTTGGCCACGCAGGCTCACTTGGAGCCAGCACTGGCTCCAGTCCCAGCGGGCTCCCCAGGAGAGGCCCAGCAGCTGAGAGGCCAGGACAGCACTGGACAGCAGCAGAACCCTCAGCAGAGTTCTTTGACCAAGGACTAACTGGCCGCTCCACAGCAGCCAGGCTGGGAATGTTCCGTGGATACGAGGAGATACTATAGGAGGCTGTGAGGGGGAAAATCAACTTACCCTTTGCTGTCAATCCACCACCGGATCCCAACATAGCACAAGATCATGGCCAGAGGCACAGTGAACAGTACCACCACTGTGCCCACCATGCAGTGCTTGCGCACGTCCTGGGGGCACAGAACTCTCCTGACGCTCTGGGGATTTTGGTCCTTTGTTCCTGCCTTGCCGACCACATCTGCGGGAGCAATTTGGAGCGTTAGCCCGTCCTGGGCACCCCTGCTAAGCCGACAGCACGTTGGACACAGCCAGGACATTCTCTGTTTCCCTCAGTGCAGGTGCCTGGAGGCTCCCAGCCCTGGGGACAGGCTGTCCCACCAAAGCAAACCCAGAAGGCCGGGAGGAGAGCCCGGGGGGAGCGGAGCTGCTTGAGCAGTCGCTCCTTTGAGGGACACGCACACAACCCATCCCTGCAGCAGGCAGTGCCAGCCTCATCCTTCCCTGCCCTGGGACAGCTCCCACAGCCCAAGGGGACGGAGTCAGGCCCTCTCAGGAGACACGTGAGCCTCTGCCCAGGGTGGGAGCCAGGGAGCGCTCCGGCCCTCGGCTCGCGGGAGGGATCCCGCTCTGGGCTGCTCTGGTGCCTTGGGCCTCTCAAGACTCAGGGCCAGCTCTGGGAGCAGCTGCAGCGGGAGGGACCTTGGGGCCAGAGTCCCGTTTCCCAGGGGCTGCAGAACATGCTCCAGATGCCTCCAACCTGTCATGCTTTCAGCTTACCCGGCTTGCTAGTGCCTGGCATCGCCTTCCTTCCTTCAGGAGACTCTGGCAAAGAGTCGTTTATTTCTTTTGGAACCACTGCTTTTAGCACAGCCTCTCGGTCCATCTCTGGAGAAAGCAAGAGGGACATCTGGATCAGGTGGAGCTGTTCTCCATAAGGGAAGTGGCATCTTAAGGAGGCAATGCTTATAAAAGACATGGGAAAGGTCCAGGGAAACAGCCAGGCTTTTGGGGCTGGGTCAGGGCACTCCCTCCTCCAAACAGCCGCCACACCGGAGCTGCCGGGAGACCAGACCAGGCAATTGCAGGGGATCTCCTGGTCTGCAGGGCCGATGGTGCATTTGGGGCTCAGGCTCAAGGCCTTCCTGCAGAGGCTGGGGAGAAACTGCGGCCAGACCAGGCGGGGAAACAGCCCCGCAAGGTGGGAAAGCAGCAGCGGGGCAGCGAGGCTGCGATGGATCCCTTCCCGCTGTGCAGCCACTGCCTGTCCACACTTGGATCTAAAGCCCCCGGCTGATGGGTCTCACGGCTCAGGCTGAGGGAAAGGACCCACCTCGCTGTTTCTCCAGTTCACTCAGCATCTTGTCCAGAAGTTCCATTGCCTCCTGGGATTTCTTTTCTCCTGGAGGTTGGTTCTTGCCTGTTGGAGGACCTGAATGGGAAGCAGTTCCATTTGACATGAACGGATTAGAGAAAACTGGAGCTCAGCCTGTGAGGTCAGCAGAGACAGACTACTCACTCATGCCATATGAGCTGGACCAGTGCGGAGCAACCAGCACAGGAGCTGGAAAAGTCCTCCCTGCGGACACCCCTGTAACTCAACAGCCAGAGACACTTGTGTCATCCCTGGGGCTCTGCACGGGCAGCCCTGAGGTACAGTGGGGGTGAGGGGATCCCGCAGGGACAGGGCACACACGGGCAGGTCTCTGTCCTGGCCCCTGCAGAGGCGCCCGGCTGGCCCAGCTTTGGGCTCTGAGCTGGCAGCTCTCCCAGGGGGAAAAGCCACAACGTACCCACACGACCTTCCGGAGGCTCAGTCCTGGGCCCCACTCCGGGTTCCTGATCACCGTCACCCCCAGGCTTGGCCGCAAAAAGGGCAGGACAGAAGAGCTCCCGTGACCCAGTTCCAGACTCTCCCTCAGGCCGGAGGGGCAGGGAGTGTAACTGGGCAACGGGATCCCTGCAGGGCCCTCATCTCTGCCCTCCCCTCAGGAGCAGGGGCAGAGCTCCCACAGGCCAGCAGTGGCCCCTCGCTGGCACCAAAGGAGCCCCACGCAGAGCTGTCAGGGCACCAGGGACTCCCTGGAGCTGCCCCAGCTCCAAACTCAGCCCCAGCGAGGGCCATGGCTTGGCAGCCGCAGCGGGAGCACCTCCGGCTCCGAGGGGCCGGCAAAGGAGCCGCGCCAGGCACAGCCCCCCGGGCACAGCCCTGAGCCCGGCCCCTTCCCTCTCTGCCCTTCTCCGTGTCCACACGGAGGGAGCAACTGGCATCTCCAGGGAAAGAAGATTAAAAGCTCCCCCTGACAGGGATCCTGTGGGATCCCTCTTGGGCCTGAGCAAAGAGTCGGCCATGATTGCCACAATCCAGCAACCTTGAGAGGGTCTTAAGGAAAATGGCACATGAATGAGCTCTTGCCACATTGAAAGGGATTATTCTTTCAAGGAAAGAGTTGTTGAGAACTTACCTCCAGTAGGTCCCAAGATATCCAAACCATAATCCGTCCAAGCTGCGGGGGAATCTTCCTCAGCACCCTCATCTAGAAGCCAACAGAGATGGGAACCGTTTCCATGGCATGCTGGGATCCCCTCCTGCCTCAGAGAACTGTGGCACTGCAGGGGCTCGGGGAGCCCCGTGGGATCCAGATGTCAATGGACATGGCCAGAGCTGCAGAGGGGCCTGGGCAGCTCTGGGCTGGCTCCTGGCCGCTCTGCACACTCGTTCCAGGCCCTGTGCAACATCCCTGGGGGAGCGGCTGGAGCAGCCAAAGACCCTTTGGGGCTCTCTCCGCACCCAGGAAACCCTGGCTAAAGCCCTGGGGAAAACCATCCCAGACCCTTCCCGGGGAGAAGAGCCCGCTGGCCGGGAAAGGTGCCCCAGGCCGCCGGCTCACCTGCTCCCCGCGCTGGCACCGGAGCAGCCTGGGCAGCCCTGGCGTGCAGGGCCACTGCCAGGAGGAGGAGGAGGAAGAGGCGGAGAGCAAGGGCCATGGCCCCTCGCCCTCCCACCGTCCGGCAGCTACTGCTGCTGCCACTGTCCTGACACCCCTGTCCTGGCACCGCTGTCCTGACACCCCTGTCCTGACACCGCTGCTGCAACCGCAGTCAAGGTCAGGGCCTGAGTTATGTTGTCCTGGCTGGTGTGGAACCACAGGGCCCTGCTGTGACCTCATGGCCGGGGGGTGGTTGTGTGGGGATGGAGCTCAGGGTGAGGATCTGCCTTCCTGGGGAGGGAGCACATCCCAGCAGGCAGCTCTGTCCGAGGACTACCACACAGTCCCACCCAGGGCTGAGCCTGCAGGCTGGGGGATGAAGGGATCAAGTGGTGAGAAGGTGGATCTTCCTGGTGAGAAGGACTCAGGGGTGCTGGTGGATGAGAGGCTGGACGTGCCGTGGCCATATGCTCTCAGTGCCCAGAAAGCCAACCTTACCCTGGACTGAGTCCAAAGGAGTGTGTCCAGCACCCTGAGGGTGGTGATCCTGCCCCGCTGTTCCTCCCTGGTGAGACCCCCCTGGAGCTCATCCCGCTCTGGGGTCCTCAGCACAGCGAGGACATGGACCTGCTGGAGCAGGTCCGGAGCAGGCACAAAAATGCTCTGAGGGATGGAGCCCCTCTGCTCTGGAGCCAGGCTGGGAGGGCTGGAGGTGTTCACCTGGAGAAGAGAAGGATCTGGGGAGACCCGATTGCGGCTTTTCAGTTCTTAAAGGGGGCTTGTGAGAAAGATGGGGACAGAGTTTTTTATTGGGGCCTGTTGTGACAGGACCAAGTGATAATGCTTTTACCTAAAAGAGGGTAGATTCAAATTAGATATAAAAACCTTTTTTTATGCTGTGGGTGGTGAAACCCTGGCATTCCTGGAGACATTCCAGCTCAGGCTCTGAGCAACCTGGTCTAGTTGAAGATGTCCCTGCTCACTTCAGGGTGTTGGACTAGATGGCCTTCAAATGTCCCTTCCAACCCAAACCATTCTATGTTCCTGTGCACCATCAAAGTAGGGCTGGGTTAATTCCTGGGGTAGTGATGCTGACATCTCTATTTTGGTAGTTGTGCCATTAGTGATGGGCTGAGAGAGGCTTGATAGACCAAACAGTGAGGTCTGCAAACCACAGACAGTGTGTTCAAGGAGAAAAAGGAGAGGAACACATTTCAGATGAATGGGAAAATGCCAGCATTTTGCTGCCCATTCTGTGTTAAGACAGAAAGGAATGTCCTTAAGATCCCTTCATGGGTGTGCACTGTTGGCTGTCCCAGCACTTGTGTCCTGTAAAAGAGGGAAGTTGTTACAGCTTCTCAATATCCTGTTTATAGCTGGGTAAAAACCAAATACTGCACTTCTCCATCTCTGCTTTCTTCCCAATAAAGGCAAATTTTGTCCATTATTGTGTGGAACATATTCAACTATTCATGTGCAAATTCTTGCCATTCACACAGTGTTGATTTGCTCTAATCTCACTGCAATTAAGACTGATACATTGTGAGGCAAAGCGTTGAGTGATTACTCCTGGTGTCTGTGACTGTAGAGAGATATTCTGTAATTAAATGACATTTGAAGACAGGTGTAGTATACAATACTTCTGGTACGTATATAACTTTACTAAATATCCAGACATTTCTGTACGTTGTGTAAGAGACCTGGAGGTTGGTACATCACTTCTTCTGTGAGTACTCATTAGAATAGTAATTGGATCAGTTTGTTCAAATAAATAAGCAAAAGTAATGCATTATTTCTTATGTATGCAGTCTTTCATATTTAGGATATGTTATTGACACAGTACCTAGTTAAGTACAGGTAGGATGGGCATTCAGTGCTAGCAAGATATTATTTGTTCATTCCTAGCTTTGTTTTAAATGGCAGCATGATAATCACTACAGAACTTATTTTACTAGGAAACAATATTTGAATTTCTCTGCATGATCTCTCAAAGTTCCTCAAAATATTTTATTTTATTTTATTTTATTTTAGGCTTATTCAAGCTAGTCCTTGACACAGAGCAAAGATTAAATCTACCTTTTCAAATCAAGGCCATAGTTCCAAGCAGAATTTACCATTTGTGGTGGCAGTTTTGTCTGCTCCGTATGTCAGAATTCCCACTTCACCATCTGTTTTCTCAGTTTCTTTTGAAGTTGAATTAACTGGAAGACAAGCAACTGCTTTCTGCTTCAGAAGTTGGGCCAAATCCAACTGGTTTTGGAATCTGTTTTTTGGAACTATTACAGTTCAGAAAGCATCAAAAATATCTGAATCTATTTAAGAAGTATGGAAAACAAAAATATAAAGCCCTGCCATGTTCATGATTGCACAAAACCAATTTCCTTTTTCGAAAGAAAATCAAGTCTGAAAGAGTTCAACTGCCAGAATATGAATGTAAAGGAGGTCAGAATATCAACAGGATGTCAACAGGATACATGATCCTTCTCTTTTGAGTGAGACACCTGAAGAGGTGTGTAAAATAAAACATCTTGTACCACAAAACTTGCTTTGCTTTTTGAGAATTTGACATATTGTTGCAACTTAAAAATGAGTATTTATCAAAAACAGTGAAAAAGGCTGATGAACAGAGATGAGTCTCACTGTGTTTTAAATCTCCTGAATTAAACTGTTTCGTTGTCCCTGTCTTGAGATCGTGCCTGGAGGGTGGGAGCACAGGCCATGACGTTCTTTTTCCTGTGAAGAGCCCTAAAGGTTCCTCACAAGGGGGTGACAGAATTGGTGGTAGAGTTTTACAGGCAGCTCGAAGAAACACAATGTATGCCCAAGAAATCTTTACATCAGTCGTCACCAAACCTGGTCTCTGTTTTTTTATAGCTGTGATTTATAATAACAGCAGTTTGAAAATCAAGGCATTTGATGATGTTTTGAGATGTTTTATTCATTTAATAATGAAATAACTCTAATTCAATACATGTAGACAGATGTGTGGTGACTATTTTACACAAATATGATGACATTTATTTTTTTAGGCTTTAATCTAATGTTGTTACTCATATTGACTACAAGAACTCCACATCATCCAGTCATCTCTGAGTGTCAGCTTCTCACAAGGGTGACTTTGAGGCTTTCTGCTGCTGAATATTGTCTGCAGAAGATCATATTCAACCTACAGCATTTCCTCCCAGATTTATTGATATGTGCAACATCTTCCCTTTATTCTTGGCATTAAATCTTTTCTCCTCCTCCTCCTCCTCCTCCTCCTCCTCCTCCTCCTCCTCTTCCTCCTTCTCCTCCTCCTCCTCCTCCTCCTGTTCCCTCCCCCCCCGGAATTTCAGTCTCCAAGGTCTAAACTGTTCAGCTGCTTCACAAACATTGTTTTAATTCACACGGGCATCCATGCAGTGAACAACAAATCAAGGCTGTGCCCATGAAGCTTGAAGCAATGTACATTTATAGCACTAAATATAATAATCCATTACCCAGATGAAGCCAAGCATTTCCCAAATAACTCTACCTGTCCTCAGGGATGTTTACCAAAGGATCAGGAGAGAGAAGGTTGTTTGTGTAGCTTTGCAGCACTAAAGTGATGAACATTAAAAAGTACAGCTTTCTGAGATCTTTGTATTCCTATAAAACAGAGTCAAAATGTTTTATATATGGGACATTAATGAAGAAGTGAATGACAGATTGTGAAAATAGCTGCTTTGGGAACAGAAAGCTAAATAAGAAAAAGTTTACACACTCTGCATCCCTCCTCCCTTTCAATGCAAACATACACAGGCAAGTGCATCCATACCTATCTGTCTGTCTCTTTATGTATTTTTCTAATCTGTGGAAAACTTTCCATGTGTGGTATTTTTTTTGTTCATTTATAAGTTAAGACACATCTGTTGAGAGCTGGAAAAAGATACCACCCCTCTTTGATACAACCAGCTTGGCTTTAGAAGCAGAGATGAACTGTGATTTCTTGCTTTCTTGCTAGAAATATGCTGGCTTGTTTAGATTAACTTTATTTTCATTTTAATTTTTTTCTTCTATGATGGTTGGCAAAAACATTTCTTCCTTAAGCTATGTGCTGGCAATATTTGAGATAGAAAATAACATCATACTACACATTTTAGATACTTCATAGTTTTCTTGTGAAATTTTATTGTTGTACCACCTACTTGAAAACCCCTCAAAACTAAATCAGCAGGTCAACTACTGTGCACAACTTGCTAGAAAGCTGCAGTTCCTGCAGCAAAAGAGAAGGTTTGGGGATGGCTGGGGTAATTTTAAGTGCAGGGGGTTAGTTTTCCACTAGAGGGAAGGGAAGCTGCAGGAAGGACTGCTGCACTTCCTAGTATTCCTGGCTATAAAGTCAGAGACAACCTCAGTAACAGCATCTTTAGTGACTGAGACACTAAATGTGGCCTCAACACAAACTGCTGCTTCTTGGTACATTTCCTTCTGCTAGAACTAGCCAGAAAAGGGATTTTAAATCTAGGAAAACTAATGCATATGATCCGTATGCACAATGTCCCATTTAATTTTTACCATACCAATAAAAAGGGAGTTTGCTTTATTGCCTTTCCAGCCAGAGGTTGGAGAAATTCAGCAACTAATCACTAACTCACAGCTAAATCTGATGCCAGCAACATTCCTACAATATTCTTGTTGGGTTTTTTAAACTGTTAAACTTCTTTATTGCTGCTGACTGCCAGCATATATGAACTGACCTGAACCTCTTCTTAAATAGATGCTTCAAGAAGGTTGTACAGTTTTCCCATAATAACATTAACTGCCATGATTTGATTGCAGTAAAGGTTTTGTAAGCTAATAAAACGTTGATGTCTATCTGTAGGCTCCACAAGAGGATGAGGGATATAATTCCTGGGGATCTGCTGCCCTCAGCAGAGATACCACAGTCTTGAGTCATGGATGTGGAGTTCCCTTAGCTGATTTTCTGAGTTTCTCCTCACTCAGAAACCTCCTTTGCTCTCATTTTCTTTGATCATTATTCAGTACCAGGAAAAGTTAGTGGAGTGAAATGAGGTGTCCTCAGAGCCTTCTCTTCTCCAGGTGAACCCCCCCAGCTCTCCCAGCCTGGCTCCAGAGCAGAGGGGCTCCAGCCCTGGGAGCATCCCTGTGGCCTCCTCTGGACTCGTTCCAACAGCTCCACATCTTCTTTGTGTTGGGAGCTCCAGAGCTGGACAGAGAGCTCCAGGTGGGGTCTCACAGGGCAGAACAGAGGGACTGAATCCCCTCCCTCGCCCTGCTGGTCACATTTCTTTTGATGAAGCCTGGGAGAAGCAAAAGGACTTGTAATTATACAAAAGACTTGTAATTTCTTTTTGGGTTCAGCTCTCATTTTCCTTTTTCTCTTTCTTCTCCATAGCCCCCTCATTGTGCTTTGGCTTGTCATCCAGGCTTGGGATGCTTGTGGGGGGCCACACCAGCCAAGCTTGCACGAAAATTGCGTTTTTTTCTCTTGCTGTGCCAAAGCCCTGCTTTGCCTTTGGGCAACCAGAGTGGCACTTATTTCTAACCAAATAAAGTCAGCCCTTGCAGACAGAACTGAGCTGAGCTGAACTTTAAGGAAATGGTGAAGAATTTTAGAACCTCTTCTCACTAGTTACCGGTGTCCATCCACCTCTTCTGTTTCCTCAGGGAAAACTCATTGCAACTAAACCCTTTCCTGTTAATACAGACATCAAAGAAGGGGTATCCTGCATATTTCCTGGGAATCTGAATTGGGGTTTTGGAGTGGGTGGCTCAGCTGAGGACTCTAGCCTTCCTGTGCTTTGTGAACAATTTTGAAATCTTTTCTCCTGTATATATTTTAATACCAAGAGATTTTACCCAATATGTGGAAATCTGTGTTCCTGTCTTGGAGGCACTGAAAGAAATTGAATTCCAAAGTATTTCCTTGGCCTGTGGATAAAAGGAGGATTATATGAAGTTAGAAAGGAGACAATCTAATGTAATTATTCCTAGTACTTGTGTTTATAAGATCACAGGGCAGAGAAAAAGGGACATAAAAGAGGAGGGGAATGAGGCAGCACAGGATCAAACACTGACAAGCTGAAAAAGGGGCAGCAGCTGATGTCTGACACCAGAGAACTGAATGGGAATAAATGGGGGACAGTGATGTTCCATGTGGGAGTAGCAGCTGATGAGTACATTGTATTGACTGTGGAATGAGAGAGGAGAGACTGACCTGTGACCCTGAGTGACACCAGGTGTAACCTGGCAGGACCAGGAGCTGTGTGGCATCAGTGCAAGACATGGAGCTGAGACAAGGGAGGAAGGAGCTCCTTCTGCCCAAGCAGGGACCTCACAGGCGTGCCCAGTGTGATACTGGATAATGAGGAGTGATCCTGCACCTGCTGTTCCTGTCACCTGGAAGGTGGGACAGAAGCAGAGAGCTGTTAGGATCTCTGTGGAGCAGGCTAGCTTTGGGCCACTGCCTCTTGAGCCAGTCTGCTTTTCTTCTCAAGCACAGAGTTTGACCATCTTCTGTAACACCATCCCTTGGGAAAAAAAGGTTCTTCTTCCAGTTTCCCAAAATACCTTCATACAGTTTCTGCACCTACTCACTCATCCTTTAACTGCACACTTTTACGTAAATCAGTGAAAGCAAAGGGCTAACAACAGACACTGGGAGTTAATTTGTAGCTTAGGATGGATAGTTTTCCCTGAAAAAATCCAACTGGTATTTCGGCAGTGGCTGGTCAGAGGACCAAAAGAAGCTGAGCTCTATTTTGCAGTTGTGATGGTCAGTATTCCTGCCATGCTGCTTCTCTCACCTGCTTCCTCAGTTCACCTGGGCTCTTGACCCCAAGAGCTTAATACTAATGATGGTATTTTTAGAAGCACCAGGACAGGTCCTGCTTTCTGAAGGCACTGTGCTTTGAGATGACTCTGGAGATGATGTGCAACTCTCACTGTTCTGGCAGTTCAGAGAGCACTGGGGACAGATAAATAACTGGTTGGGGTTTGGTGGGTCTTTGCTATCAGCCTCACCTTGCAGAGGAGGGTGTTGACAGGGGATCACATGGACAAGAGGGATGGTCCCAGGTCCCCTGCAAGTTTAGCAGCTCTGTATGAAATACAGGGAAGTGAATTGGACCCTCTACATAAGTGCAGGGAAAGGGGATGGAGAGACGAACGTGAATCCCCTGGAAGGTGTTTCCCAAATGTACTGTGCATGTTGGATTACAGCTCTGCCTGGACGTCAGCAGCTTGCTCACCAAGAGGCTTTTTGTTTTTCTTCATGTGTATCAAACTCAGCAAATTAAAAGGCTGTTTACAGAGAGAGAGTCTTGTGTAGTGTAATCTGGACTTTGGGAAGATGGTAGTTGTTAGATCAATACCCAGCAATCTGGCTAACTTGTTTTCTCTTTTTTTTTTTTTTTTGTGACTGCTCCCTGGTGATTTTGGTCTGGCTTCTTAAAGGGATTCAATTTTAATTTTGAAATGGAGGTAATGCTGTCACGGGACAGATGGAGCTGGGACAAATGGCATATTGATTCTGATCTTAACAAGAAGCCACCTGAGCTCCTCATGACAACAGCCCCACAGACTGGTAATGGATCTGTAAAATCAACTCATCACAAAGCTTTTAACTTGAAGCTCTGACATATGGAGCCTGTTCAGTTCTGCCACAGAGGGAGAGGGTTTGAATGCAAAGAGGTTTAGCAAGGAGACCTGTGCACAGCACAACTGTCTGTACTCCAGCAAGTGAAGTGTCTTAGGATGTAAGACCTTGGCCATACTTCAGTTTTACCCCTCCATTTACCCAGCTTCTTGGCCTTCCTTTGTCAGTGGTGAAATATGACAGGGAGAGGCAGATCCTTCTTGGCTGCTGCTTCTCTAAAGTTGGCCTTGTTTGCTGACTGTCCTCTGAACAGGTTGGTGACAACCAGCTCCAGTTACCGAGGTCAGACAAAGCTGTCTCACACCAGTGCCGGGGCCAGAGGGGGCTGGATTAAGTCTGCACTGTCCCAGCAGCCTGGAACCTCGTGTTCTCCCAAAAACAGGAACAGGCAAATTGGTATCTCATTGTGAAGCAGCACTTTGAGAAGTTTGCCATGTGTTTGATTCTGCCCTGAAGCAACTGAGATTCACTGGAGTATTCACAAGCCCTAAATAATGGATTTATTGTGGTTGCTAGAATCTTTCATATTTTACAGCTTTGCTGTACAATACTCTGGCACTTGCAGACCCCTTGGCTGGTGCAGTTCTTCAGCGCTTCTTACAGAGAAGTGGTTTGGGAAGCAAGTCAGGGCTCACGTTCACGGGTGGTTTGTGGAGCCCACAGGACAGGGCGTTGTCTGTTATTCCAACACCTGTGCCATTTATTCTGGTGGAATCCTTGTGAGAAAGATTTTTAGTCTACTTTTTTAGCTTGAACAGCCCAAACTTGTCCATCTAACTGGTTTCTGTTGCAGGTTTTTCCTTTGCTGTCTGCCGTTGGCCCCGAGAAGATGCTGCTCGGATTCTGCAGACCATAATTGCTGATACCAAGCTGAAACCTCACTGTGCTCCACAGCAGCTGAGTTATCCACAGGTGAGCCAAGAGCCAGGGTTCAGCTCCAGAAACTCCAAGACCTGACAGATGAACCTCTGGCCCTGAGGAAGGCAGGAGCATTCTGAAGGTAAAGGGTAACTGGCTTTGGGTCTGACCCTGCACGTCCCTTTGCATGGCAACAGCTGCCCCACGCTGTGTGGGGGGCAGATAACATGTGACACTTAATTTAGCACAACACTTTGGGAAGTGAAAATATTTGTTAAAATTGGTGTTGATAGCACTGGTTGAGTAAACTTACAAAGCTCTTAAAAAAAATCAGTCTGGGCACAAAATGATTTTTTAATGATTATTTTTAGTTCTTTGATGCTCAGAGATAATGGAGGAAGGGGGAGATTTTCTGTTCAGCTCGCCTGTTAGGGTGCAGTGGGTGAGAAAAGAGTAGTTTTTGGCCAGCTGGTTTAGGAGCTCTAAAAGCAGCTGTGGTGTCCCTAATGAAACGTGGGGGTGGGGCACAGTTACAGACTGGATTGTCCCCCATGTGTTCCCCTCTTCACCACAGAGCTGTGGAGACTCAGCCTGCTGGTGGCAAAATCCCCACACCCCCCAGTTTGCAGCACTAAAGGCTTTGTGCTCATCACTATGGAAAACTGCATGGGTGGCCTGCACCTAATGTTCTTTTGTTGGCTGGACCCCAGTCAGTGCTGCATCTCAAAGACTGACCCCAGCCCTGAGCTGCTTTTAAGACTGACTTGATCAAAGGGACTGAAGCTCTGTTGACTACAAATTCTCTAGAAAAATAAACACAGGAACTATGAGAATGTTGGTGACAAAAGCAGAGTTAAACCTTTGAGGCCACCTCCCCCCTTTTATTTTTAATTTATTTAATATTCTGAGTGCCAGTCCTTGTATGAAACGGGCCCTCAGCAGCAAGCTAGGCCTCCTTGGTGTGGCCCTTTGTGCTCACTGTTTCTGGTTTGATGTGGCTGTTCACACTATGAAACTTGTCCATCGTGCACTCTTTGTCTGTAATTCCAATTTCCTGTAACTCCAACGCACAGCCCTTTTTGCTGGATGGCGTGTAAATAATCTGATTACTTTATTAGATAACTTACATCTTGCACTTCATGACATTCCAGTTGTGGTAATCAGACTCTGTCACATCCCATTTCTTGAACTTTCAAGCCTTCCAGCTGCAGCCCAGGGGAAGATGTTTCTGTCTTGCCTCAAAATTGGCTACTCTTTTGCAAAGACAGCCTTTTACAAAGGAGTTGTTACGTGCATTGATGTCCAAGGGTCTGCTTTAAAAGACAAAAAAACCTCCACCAAACAAACAGCAAACTAAACAAACAGCATATTAAAAAAAACTTCTGTATTTTCCGTTCTTGCTTTTAATATTTTCCAAGCTGTCCTCCTTTTCCACTGCAGTGACAGGAAAAGAAAGCAAACATCCTTCCCAGATGATGTGCCTTGACGAAGGAACACAGACCTTAAACACAGGGGATATATTAAATGTGCAGATGATCATGATCATCACGATCATTTATTTCCTGCCTGTTTTTATGTAAGATTATTTGCAGAGGGCTGAGCACAGTGTCTCAGCCCCCCTGGCTGGTGCCACGGCCCCCCGTTATCTGCTCTTCCTCGTGCTCTTGTGTCTCTGCCCATTTGTCTCTCTTGGGTTGCCCCCTCCTTCACCTCAGTTTTGTTTCTTTAAATCATCTTTGCTGTAGCAGCTCGGAGCTGGTGCCTGAGGGTTTTCCTCCACAAGCAGCGTAATTTTCCTCCCTGTCTTCCTGACTCAGACTCCTGGCTCTCTGATGAAAGGTCCCATCATCCAAGCAGGTCTGGGCACTGCTGGGACTGTTCCTCAGCGGATCCAAGCCCCTTCCCATGGCCCCACTGTCCATCCCGGTGCCCTGGGGTCCAACTGTGCATCTCCTTCTGCCTAGTTGATAACTGAGACAATGTCTGCCAAATATTTGTACTGTTGGGCAGCCTTGGGGGCTGTATGACATTCCTGTGGACACGTCCAAGCTGGAGCTTTATCTCTGCTGACTGACCTGGCAGTTGGGGTTTTTGGTTGGGTTGGAGTTTGGTTTTGGGGGTTTTTTACTCTTAACAGTCAGATCAGTGTGATTTGTATCCTAAAGGTTCTAAAGCACAGATGTTGCACATGAAGGTTGTTTCGGGTTTTGCATTGGTCTCAGATGCTGCAAACCCCTGTGGGTCTGAGCAATGGGGCTTTAGCTGTGTGTGCTTCCAGCCCTGCAGTTCCCTGTGTGGTGAGTGCTCTGGGGCACCTGTGTGTAACAGCACATGAGGGTGCCACAGCTCCCATTGTCTTGTGGTGTTTTGGAGAATCCCTGCATTCAGAAATTAACTCTCCTTGAAGCTCAAGGGTGCCTAAAACTTCCCATATAGACACATGTTCCTCATTTCTGATTTTTTTTAAAACCTGGCTGGCTGAGCACTTGCCCTTTCCTTGTCCTGCTTTGCCCCAGCTCCACAGTGTTGGACAACCATCCCCATGACACCAGTTCAGGTGCCCTCCTATGAAGGAGAAAGGGCATCACAGGGGCTTTGCACCAGGTCCTGATGGCGAGCACAGCTTGAGCTGCAGCAAGAAGGTCCCCCCTGGCACCACAGAGAGCGTTAAGGAGCCTGGAAACTCCCAAGGTGCAGGTTTCAGATAAGACAACCCAGCTGTCACAGCAAAAGCGGCCCCACCTCAGTCCAAGAGGTGCAGTGTGCACACAGTATAATCATGGAGCACTTGGCTGGGAAATCAAATTCTTAGGGTGTATCTCAAACAAACAAACAGATTCTATCAGACAAGTTGACATTCATGGGAAGTCTCCCTTTCAAGTCCAAACTCCAGCATTAAGAAATTAGTTTTGCCACTGGTAAACATGACCCCTGGATTCACTACGTAGCTACATGTCCACAGACTGAGCTGCCCACAGTGCCAGACTCTGGCAGCCATTTGCCTGGCTGGAGAATGGATGCTGCAGCATTCCTAGTCTAAAACAACAGAAATCCAAACTCTCGCCTTTCCAGTTTGCCTGCTAGAAATGTGAAGAAGTTTCATGATGTTTGAACTGTCTAAATTAAACTATCTCAGAGAGATAGTTCATGAACAGGAAACTTGTGGTTACTATCTCCATTACACACAGAACAATGTAAAGTGGTTTAATTGCTTTTTGTACTCTATTGTGGGAGATGAATTCTGGCCTTTATTTTGCTGCTGTGTCATTAAGTTGTCTCAGATACTCCTTTGTGTCATTTAACCACTGGGTTCTTGCAGAAGTACAATCCTTCAGCATCTCACACTGGAGATAAATCATGCAGGACGAGGTCAGACTTTAGCCTTTGGAGTGTCAACATGTGCCAGGATGATCCATTAGCCCACATGTGAACCAGGTGTTTTACCAGGCCAGACACATGACTGTTGTCCATAGCTGGTCTCTGTCTGCAAAATAATGTGGAGCTGCAGCTCTAAGGAACTCAGAGGTTAGGGAGCAAATAGACCAAATCCCTAATTTCTATCAGTTACTTTACAGGAGTATTTGCTACTGATAGATTTTATATTCCTTCCCAGAGCTGGAATAAAAGAATCCCAGCAGTTTGCTATGAAAGCAAGAGAAAGAGACCCTTCTCAACAGGTTCCAGCTCTGTTCCTCATTTGAATTAAAAGCAGAGCAAAACTATTCTGTTGGTCATGTCAAACCCACCTATTTTTGATGACAGTCTGTGAAAGACAAAACAGTATAAAAAATATTTCATTTTATAATACTTACATTTTTCTATTGAGCCATGGCATAACTATGCCGCCATGAGCTTGATGATGACCCTGGGAAAAGAGTAAAACTGAGCTAAAAACTAGTCAATGAATTTCATTAACAAAGCGAGGCATTTGGTACTGGAGCCCTGCAGGACAGTCCTGACCACGAGACAGGCCACAACTGCTCGGAGCAACCTCTGAAGGGAGCAGGGTGGAGGGAGATCAGTGACTTACTCCTTGTTCTTGTACACCTTGCGCGCCACAAAACTGCAGCAGAACAGAACCAGAGGCACAGTGAGCAGCGTGGCCAGCATGCCAATCATGCAGCGCTTGCGATAGTCCGGGGGGCACAGAACTTTCCTGACACTCTGAGGATTTTGGTCCTTTGTTCCTGCCTTGCCGACCACATCTGCGGGAGCAATTTGGAGCGTTAGCCCGTCCTGGGCACCCCTGCTAAGCCGACAGCACGTTGGACACAGCCAGGACATTCTCTGTTTCCCTCAGTGCGGGTGCCTGGAGGCTCCCAGCCCTGGGGACAGGCTGTCCCACCAAAGCAAACCCAGAAGGCCGGGAGGAGAGCCCGGGGGGAGCGGAGCTGCTTGAGCAGTCGCTCCTTTGAGGGACACGCACACAACCCATCCCTGCAGCAGGCAGTGCCAGCCTCATCCTTCCCTGCCCCGGGACAGCTCCCACAGCCCAAGGGGATGGAGTCAGGCCCTCTCAGGAGACACGTGAGCCCCTGCCCAGGGTGGGAGCCAGGGAGCGCTCCGGCCCTCGGCTCGCGGGAGGGATCCCGCTCTGGGCTGCTCTGGTGCCTTGGGCCTCTCGAGACTCAGGGCCAGCTCTGGGAGCAGCTGCAGCGGGAGGGACCTTGGGGCCAGAGTCCCGTTTCCCAGGGGCTGCAGAACATGCTCCAGATGCCTTGAACCTCTCACACATTCAGCTTACCCTGCTTGCCAGTGCCTGGCATCGCCTTCCTTCCTTCAGGAGACTCTGGCAAAGAGTCACTGCCTCCTTCAGGAGCTGCCGCCTTCCACAGAGCCATCTCTTGGTCCATCTCTGGAGAAAGCAAGAGGCAATCAGATGGAACCATTCTCCATAAGGGAAGTGGCATCTTCAGGAGGCAATGCTTATAAAAGACATGGGAAAGGTCCAGGGAAACAGCCAGGCTTTTGGGGCTGGGTCAGGGCACTCCCTCCTCCAAACAGCCGCCACACCAGAGCTGCCGGGAGACCAGACCAGGCAATTGCAGGGGATCTCCTGGTCTGCAGGGCCCGTGGTGCATTTGGGGCACGGGGTCAGGGGATGCTCAAGGCCTTCCTGCAGAGGCCGGGGAGAAGCTGCAGCCAGGCCAGGCGGGGAAACAGCCCTGCAAGGCAGGAAAGCAGCAGTGGGGCAGCGAGGCTGCGATGGATCCCTTCCCGCTGTGCAGCCACTGCCTGTCCACACGTGGATCTAAAGCTGATGAGTCTCATGGCTCAGGCTGAGGGAAAGAAACCCACTGTGCCCTCCCTGCAGTTCACTCAGCATTTTTCTCATGCCTTCAGATGGGTCCTGAGGTTTCTTTTCACCTGGAGGTTGGTTCTTGCCTCTTGGAGGACCTTAAGGAAAAGCAGTTTGATTTCACTTGAATACAGAGAACCAGAGCTCAGCCTGTGAGGTCAGCAGGGACAGACTACTCACCCGTATGATGTGAACCAGCTTTGCTTGGAGGAACCAGCCCAGAAGCTGGAAAAGTCTTCCCTGTGGACACCCCTATAACTCAACATCCAGAGAAGATTCTGTCACCTGGCTCTTGCTACATTTTCATTCATTATTCTTTGAGGGGACATTGAGAACTTACCTGCAGGAATCCCTGAAGGCTCTAAAGAATTTTCTGTCGATGGTGTTGGAGAAATATTCCCAGTACCCTCACCTAGAAGCAAACACAGATGGGAACCGTTTTCAAGGGGATAAAGTCAGGATCTCTCAGAAGACACTGGAGCCTTGCTCTCCCCATCTGCCTTTTTTCCAGCATGGGCACCCCTTGCATCTGCTCCCAGGTTTGGGGATATGTCCCTCCCTTAGGGCCCCCAGCAAGACTGCTCAGTACCCAAGTCCCCTAAGCCTGCTCAGGATAATTCATTTGTGCTGTGACAGCCTGCTCCGGGCTGGGCCAGCACTGCCAACAGCAGACACGGCAGCTGAAGCCTCAGCACAGCTCAGCCCAGAGGATGCCTGGCATTGCCTCCCTGCCCGCAGCAGAGCCTGGCACGGAGCCACTGCTTCCTTTGGGGAACGCCGCCTGCCACAGAGCCCCTCGGTCCATCTCTGGGGAAAGCAAGAGGGACAGCTGGATCAGAGGGAGCTGTTCTCCATAAGGGAAGTGGCATCTTAAGGAGGCAATGCTTATAAAAGACATGGGAAAGGTCCAGGGAAACAGCCAGGCTTTTGGGGCTGGGTCAGGGCACTCCCTCCTCCAAACAGCCGCCACACCGGAGCTGCCGGGAGACCAGACCAGGCAATTGCAGGGGATCTCCTGGTCTGCAGGGCCCGTGGTGCATTTGGGGCACGGGGTCAGGGGATGCTCAAGGCCTTCCTGCAGAGACTGGGGAGAAGCTGCAGCCAGGCCAGGCGGGGAAACAGCCCCGCAAGGTGGGAAAGCAGCAGTGGGGCAGCGAGGCTGCGATGGATCCCTTCCCGCTGTGCAGCCACTGCCTGTCCACACGTGGATCTAAAGCCCCCGGCTGATGGGTCTCACGGCTCAGGCTGAGGAAACAGACTGACCTCGTTGTCTCTCCAGTTCACTCAGCATTTGGTCCAGAAGTTCAAATGGCTCTGGGGAGTTTTTTTCTCCTGGAGATTGGTTCTTGACTGTTGGAGGACCTGAATGGGAAGTAGTTGCATTTGACATGAACAGATTAGAGAAAACCAGAGCTCAGCCTGTGAGGTCAGCAGGGACAGACTACTCACTCATGCCATATGAGCTGGGCTCAGGTGCAGCATCCAGCTCGGGAGCTGGAAAAGTCCTGCCTGCGGACACCCCTGTAACTCAACAGCCAGAGACACTTCACTGCAGGGCCCTCATCTCTGCCCGCCCCTCAGGAGCAGGGGCAGAGCTCCCACAGGCCAGCAGTGGCCCCTCGCTGGCACCAAAGGAGCCCCACGCAGAACTGTCAGGGCACCAGGGACTCCCTGGAGCTGCCCCAGCTCCAAACTCAGCCCCAGCGAGGGCCATGGCTTGGCAGCCGCAGCGGGAGCACCTCCGGCTCCGAGGGGCCGGCAAAGGAGCTGCGCCAGGCACAGCCCCCCGGGCACAGCCCTGGGCCCGGCCCCTTCCCTCTCTGCCCTTCTCCGTGTCCACACGGAGGGAGCAACTGGCATCTCCAGGGAAAGAAGATTAAAAGCTCCCCCTGACAGGGATCCTGTGGGATCCCTCTTGGGCCTGAGCAAAGAGTCGGCCATGATTGCCACAATCCAGCAACCTTGAGAGGGTCTTAAGGAAAATGGCACATGAATGAGCTCTTGCCACGTTGACAGGGATTATTCTTTCAAGTCGAGAACTTGCCTCCAGGAGGCCAGAAGTACTTCAAAACATCATCGTCCAGATAATCCAAGTCACGATCCCCATCTAGAAGCAAACAGAGATGGGAACCGTTTCCATGGCATGCTGGGATCCCCTCCTGCCTCAGAGAACTGTGGCACTGCAGGGGCTCGGGGAGCCCCGTGGGATCCAGATGTCAATGGACATGGCCAGAGCTGCAGAGGGGCCTGGGCAGCTCTGGGCTGGCTCCTGGCCGCTCTGCACACTCGTTCCAGGCCCTGTGCAACATCCCTGGGGGAGCGGCTGGAGCAGCCAAGGACCCTTTGGCGCTCTCTCCGCACCCAGGAAACCCTGGCTAAAGCCCTGGGGAAAACCATCCCAGACACTTCCCGGGGAGAAGAGCCCGCTGGCCGGGAAAGGTGCCCCAGGCCGCCGGCTCACCTGCTCCCCGCGCTGGCACCGGAGCAGCCTGGGCAGCCCTGGCGTGCAGGGCCACTGCCAGGAGGAGGAGGAGGAAGAGGCGGAGAGCAAGGGCCATGGCCCCTCGCCCTCACACCGTCCGGCAGCTACTGCTGCCGCCGCTGTCCTGACACCCCTGTCCTGGCACCGCTGTCCTGACACCGCTGCTGTACAATCTCTGTCCAGTAATCACTGTCCAGTAATCACTGTCCAGTAATCACTGTCCAAACGCCACCAAATCTGACACCGCTGCCGCCGCCGCTGCTGCCGCAACAGTTGCAGTCAGGGACTGAGTGGTCGGTCATTGTGGTGCTGTGGGACCACGGGGCTCCGTGACCTCACAGCCCTGCTGTGACCTCATGGCTGGGATGTGTTCGTGGGGGATGGACCCACCTCTGGGAGGGAGCAGGTCCTGCTGGCAGCTCTGTCCCGGGGCTGGGACAGTCCCACCCACGCCGAGCTCACGGCTCTGCCCTGTGTTCCCAGCACCGGCTCACGGGCAGCGAGAGCTCAGCCTCCCTCAGAGCAACAGGCAGCCACAGCCCAGGGGTTCTGCCCTCCTCGGGCACTGTCAGCCACAGCTCCTGAGGCTGAGGAGTGAGGGATTTCTGGCTCCAGGCAGATGCCCTCCTGTAGGCAGCTTCCAGCCTGGAGCCCAGTTTAGCACCGTGGGGGGTCCCAGGGCTAACGAGGCACTTTTGTTTTATGGGAAAGATGGAGCCTTTACCATTTCCTCTTCATGTGAAATTTAAGGGACTGTATCAAGTAACCTGATGTCGTCTCACTGTTAAAAACTGAGGCAAAGAAGGCACGAAGGACCTCCGCCTTTTCCTCCTCTTTGGTGACTGTATGCCCCCTCCCTGTCATGTCCAATAACCAATGAAGGCTTTCCTTGGCTCTCCTTTTGTTATTAATGTATTTATAAAACAACTTTTTATTATCTTTTACACTGACCTAATTTTCTTTCTACATGACCTAATGACATCCTTACACACTCCTGAGTTGCCTGCCTCCTTTTCCAAAGCTCAGACACCCCTTTTCCCCAGCACGGTGCTACAGCTCTAAGGAACCCAGAACTGACAGAACACACTCCTTTGCCAGCTGATTCAGAACTACTGAGGGTGGTATTGAGTTTGCCAGAGCACACATCTGTTGTTCGGTGCAAGAGCACTTTGTGACCGAAATTCCTTATTCCAACCACACTGCTCCCAAGTGGCCTGAGCACCAGGAACGAAGGGACACAGTCACAGGCAGCGATTAAAGGGGTGACCCCACTGACGAGCGCAGCCAGTGATTTTACAGGTTGTGGTGTTCAATAAACATCTTTACTTGAAAAATTGCAACTCTGTTTATTAGGGATCTGTAGGTAAAGAGAAACAGCTTAGTCCAGGAGGCCTTTGCCACTCCAGGTTACTCTGCAAGAAACATCTATTTGTCTAAAACAGGGCAATCTGCAAGAGCGGGACACAGCCCCAACCTCACCCAGCAGGGACACCCTCCAGGGTGATGCTGGGCAGTGACAGCAGTCTGGACAAGCAACTCAGGGAGTACAAACCCAGGGAACAACAGGCAATGTGCACCTGTCACCCCAAATATAATGGCCTTCCGAGGGAAATGTGGCCAGCAAGTACTGGCAAATGCTGTTGAAATGTGTCACTGGATAAAACCGACTCTGCAGCGACAGTTCAGAGGTGGCTGAATTCTGTCTGGAGTTAGCAAGAGGGGGCAGGTAGGGGAAAAACTGTGTCTCATAATATTAAAATTAAACCTTTTATATTTCTCATTAAAATCTACTCTCTCATGAGGCTTTTCTGACAACAATAACAGCTTGTATTTAAATAAACCCCCTATTTATTGTTTTCAAAAGCCAAAGCACAGCAAAGGAGTCAGTGTAAGGTGTACGACCAAGGTCAAGAACAGAACACGGAGAAGTTCTGATAAAATTCAAGGTAAAACACAATGAAACCACCCTTAGAGACAAGGGAAAGAGACATATACACATCTAATAAGGCAACCTGAGCTTTAAGTAAAATCTCTTTATTTATCCTCTTGATATGAAGTTGTGTTTATAAGTCTTATTTTATACAGTTACATCTGGTAAACTCATGAAATAACAGTTATTAAGGTATTAAATACTTGAGCTGCAGAAAAGTCCTCCCTGATTTACATTCCTCTGTATTTGCTGGCAGGGAGGTGGTCAGAAGGTCCTGTCCAGGGGGTGGGAGCAGATGTAGGATCTCTTCTCCAGGATTTGCTTTGCAGCTTTTTTAATGGAATCATCCAGGTTCTCATCTGCATCTGCAGAGAAACAGAAAGAAAGTCAACTAAAGTACCATAAATAGCTGTTCTACGTTTCTTTCAAAAAGCGTTGGAATACAAATGCAATGTATCTGCACCTGAGTGCCAGGAAGGAATTTAACACTCTCCTCTGAAAAAGACTGATTATTGCAGACTGAGTTTCACAGAGCCAGTGCCTGACTGGGTGGGAATTCCTAAACAGACCAAATCCCTAATTTCTATCAGTTCCTTTACAGGAGTATTTGCTAGTGATAGACTTTTTATTCCTCAGTAAAAGAATCCCAGCCGTTTGCTTTAGCTGTGGAATGAAGAGACTCTTCTCAACAGGTTCCAGCTCTGTTCCTTGTCTGAATGAAAGGCAGAGCAAAACTATTCTGTTGGTCACATCAAACCCACGTTCTTTTGACCACAGCCTGTGAAAGACATAAGAATGTAAAAATTATTTTATGGAACTTACATTTTTCTAATTGAGCCATAGCATAATTGTTCTTGAAATACGCTTCTGTGCAGAAGATATTTGTGAGAAGCACCTGGGAAAAGAGGAAAACTGCGTTGAAAACTAGGGAATGAATTTCACAAACAAAACAATGTAGTAAAAATACAGTTCTTTAAACTTCTAAAAGTCATTTTTTCCTTGATAATGGAGCCCTGCAAACCAGTCATGTACAGTCCCTTGGACCCTAGAGCTGCTGAGGGTCAAGGGCAACTCAAAATTGGCTAAAGAGTGACTGGGAATCAAAACACAACAGGGCTCACACACACACAGAGTCTCAAGGCCAAAACCAAAGGTTAGTTTGTCCTGTAGCATAACTGTTACCATGAAACTTGAAATGAGCTCCTGTATCATCACTTTACTGTCATTAAATGTATTGACACAACAGTGTTGTGATTATGTTCGTATTCAGGATTATATGGAAAGAGTTTGGGAGAACTGCAGGGCATGAGCAGGTTTAAGAGAACGTGCAAATCTGTAATTAGTTTATAAATGTCTGTGTGTGTGTTAAAGAAGTATTTTAAACACATTGATAGTGTGGAACTCAACGTTCAGGGCCCTGAGAGGCAACTGGTTACTGCACCCTGGAACCAACGGGTTTGGCAACACCCTGGGGCACCGTTGGCTTTATGGCAGAGTTTGCAGTGAATCCTTTACAAAAGCAGTGTGTGGTGCTCCAAGGAGCACAGCCAGGGAACGGGAATGGGAATGGCTGCCCCAGGACTCACCTCGTGGTCGTGGTTGCGCAGCCCGATGCTGATGGAGCGGCTGGCCCTGGAGATGGCAGCTGTCATGGCATACAGGTTAATCACGATGTCTGCCACCCTCTTCAGCACCAGCTGCTCCTCCACGATTGTCTAGAAGAGTAAAAATTATTATTAGCTTCACTTAAAGCTTTAACCAAGCGTTATATTGTTCATACTTTGTGTTTAGGTCCATATTTATTTAGCATAAGCAGGTTCTACCCTCAGTTAGAAAGTTTTCGATTAACTATTACCCTTCCTGGCTGCAGCCAAGAGCAGAACTGCTGCGTCCCAGACCACTCTGCTAAATGCCAAAAATCACTGAAATTTAGGTATTAAAGATACTGTTAAGAATATGTGCTGAGTGAAGTGCAGTGTGGCAGAACCTGGTCAGAATTGCCAGAACACATCGGATTAACTGCCACAACATGGAAAATCCAGGGTATTCCACATGCAGGCTCTCCTGATGGAACTCCAGCACTGTGCATGGATTGATTGGTTTGCTGTACAACAGGGATGAACAGCACAAAGTCACAACCTGCTGGGGCAGCTCCTCATTTGGGAACGGGAATTGGGTTCCAGTGGCTGCTCACAGCAAAGGACTTCAAACAGTTGCTGCAGCAGGATTTGGTTTACAGAAGTAGAAGAAAACAACTAATTCACTGAGATTGCCTGTGCTTTGGTTTTGGTTTCGAAAACATAAATTGTCCATTACATTGAGTACAGAATTTCAGCGTGTTTTCTCACATTCAGTGACAATGTGTGGTGTGAAGGAAGTCCTGGCTCTGGCCACACACTCCAGATGCCAGTAGGCCTTGAGGATAAACTATTCAGTAACAAACAGACAAAATAATAGTTACCTTGCCAAACCTAGTCAGCAGGCCCCTGACTGTAGTTCCAAAATAGTAAATGTTTTCTTCAAGTTTCTTGCCACTCTCCTATAAAATAAAACAGAAAATACAAGCATTTGAGTGGTTTTGTAAGGGAAAAAAGCAGTACACCCTCACCCCCTTTAAGCAGGACAATAGATTTTCTCTTGGTCTATTTTTAGCAGTCATCCAATTTGCTTCTGAAAGCCAGACAAGACACTATTCCTCCTCTATAAAACATGCATTAAAATTTGCTAGATTTTACTTCTAGTAACTTTTCAGTTTCGGCTTATACTTACAAAAACAACTAACAGAACATCCCAGGAAAAACAGACCTTATCTTTTTGCTATTAACAGTACGATCATTTTGGGTCATAAAAATGATTTACTAAGTGATTAAGCAAGTACATGTATATATAGTTCACAGGAGTTCTTACCTGAAACTGTTAAACAGGAAGAAACCCTTGTTTTGTGTCAGACCTTACTATGAAGGGCATACAAACAAACTTTAGTTTACACAAATTGCTAAAATGAATATCAGCCTGGGTTTTGTCTAAATGCAGACTGAGAGCAGCCTTCATTCTCCCTGTATCCTATAATAAAACAGCTATAACTGACTTCTCTACCCTGCAATATTTTACATTGTAAATCCACTGTTCCTGAGCACACAGTTTGTTTTGCCAGGCCAGGAGATGAGGCTGAGAGGAGCAGCAAAGGAAAGCAAAGCTGAGGAGGAGGAGCCCTGGCCCTGCCTCACCTGCAGGCTGGGATGCACCACCCCGGCGTCCCCCACCAGCCCCAGATCCACCTTCCGGCCCATCGAGTCCCGCATCTTGTTCACAAACTCCCCCAGGGCCACGCCCACGTTGCCTTTCTTGATTTCTCTGGAATGTTGGGGAGAACACAGCTGATAAGCAAATTCCAGGAGGTTCAGTCATAACCAGCTGAAACTCTAAATGCTTTAGCAGAACACCTGCAGTTTGTCTGGGAATCACCAAGTGATCCATTTTACTCTGAAGTCTGGAGAGCAATTATGGAGCCTTAAAAGTCACCAGCTCCTCCCCAACGCCCTCACAAGGAATTCCAGGGACCAGCTACTCAATATGCACAATACAGCTGTTGTACCAACACAACTGTGTTCAGATTTAACATTTGCATTATTGGTCTTGGAAGAAAGACTTTTACACCAGCTGTAATTCCAAGATAAGATGCACTAAAGGCCAAGATTCCTAAATCTATGAACCATCCAATTAAAAAGACAAAAAGAGACCCCTGTTAACTACCTTTTACAGGCAATACATTGAAAATACTGAGTTTTTCCTACAGTTTCCCCCTCTTATCTATAAAGTTATCAGATTCTGATTAAAATAATAAAAACAATGAACAATAAATAAGAACATACTTAATTTTGTCAGTTAAGATTTTGCCTGCATGTTGCATACCCGTCAGTGCAATATACAGTCGCAGGATCTCATTTGTTCCCTGTAAAAAACAGGATAGAAAGGGAAGTCAGTACCAAACACAAAGTATTTTTAGTATTTTAAAAACCCCAGATATACTGTGATCATATTTTCTATACTTTTTCTTCTCCTAAAACTGCTTTCAGTGTCTAAATAACTTGTAGTTTGCCATGGAATGTTCTAAAATGCATTTGGGCTTGTAAGATGGAAGATGATCAGCACCTGTAAGGAAAACACACCTGTGCCAGAGGCTGCCCCCAGGTGAGGTTGCCTGGAGCAGAAACAGGAGCTGGGGAGGCAGAACAACAAGCAACAAAGGCTAAACAGTCTATCAATTATTTTTATTAAAGTCTTTGCAGACAGGTTCTGCAGGCAACTATAAAGTTGATAATATTGAGTGCTTTCCAAGCACCTTCCCACTGTTCCAGTTTTACAAGATGACTCTTCCTCCACCCCTAAGTGTTTGCTGTCTTTTGCTTTACCTCAGTTTTAATTCTGATTTCATGTAGCTGTGCAGAAGTTGAGCCCCTCATTATTAAGCATACAAATGCATCATAATGAAAAAGAAACCAGACTAAATGCATTTTCAGTGAAAAAAGTTGTGCATTGTTCCAGTGAAGGAACATTTAAAAAGTTGTAGAAGAGCTCCAAATGAGCTTGATTGAAGGAATTCCAATGGTGGAATGGTTTGTTTTTTAAACAAGACTGCCTATAACTATCCAAAAGGTCTTCTCTGCTTCAACCAGTCCAGGACATGCTCCTTATGTGTGGTTTTAGATGTTCCTGCCTGGAATGTCTGCCAGACTCATGGACAGCCAGCCCTGCAGGGAGCAGGACAATGACCTGACAGGCTGGTTGGGTTTGTCCTTCCATCCCCAAACACAGGTATTTATTTGCAGGACCACCTGCCCCTCAGGTGACTGAGGTGACTGCCATGCACTGAGCTCACATGGAGAACGTGCAGGACTTGGCAGTTGAGGTCTTTGCTGTCCTGGCACCAGGAGGTAAATGATCATTCCCACACGGCCCACCAAGAGAAATCAGCCTGGCAGTCTGACTCAGATGTGCAGCTGATGATCACGGACAATCCAGCCTGGAAACAGAATAAACTTCACAGCCTTTTTTGTTTTTTAAATAAGTGCCCATCAATAAGTTAATGAAACTTCTAAACTAATCTTTTATGAGTTTCCCTACTTCACTTGTGAGAAGCACACAAGAGGAAAGGTTACTCCAGCCTAGGCACCAACAGAGCAGCTCAGCCACAAAATCCCAAAAAATCCTATTTGAGACACCTTGTACCAAATCCTATTGCTTACACTAGAACAGATGAAGCAGCAAAAAAGCTCCAAAATATGCTTGACACAAAGCACCCTCCTGAGGCTCCCGCTCAGGCAGTTGCAGTGCTCTGATTTCACTGTGAGTTCCTGTGCAGTTACAGCTATTTACTGACCAGAGACTGAGGAGTTACTCTGGTCAACCAGAAGAGTTTTAGGCTTTTATGCTAATTTAGAATCCTTTAGTCTGTTCAAAGAAACAACCACCCAAGCTGTGAATTGGGATGTTTTTTTCTGATGACAGTGTCTTTAAAGCAGCTGTGTATTTTATTAAATCATCCAGCAAAACTCCAAATATTTAAGACACTTTAAATACCCTACCAATGTGTTCATATCACTGTATATAAATATATATACACACACACATATATATATAAAAATCACCAGTTTGTTGTTTCCAGGGGCAAAGCTGGTGCCAGTTCCTGCTGTAACTCATACTTGGGGGTTAGTATATAAAAGCCATCATAGCTTATTGTACTAGAGGAAACTACTCTCCATATCTCCTAGAAGAGCAAGGTTAGTTCTGCAGTCTTACTCTGCTGCAGATTCTGCAGCTAAAGGAATGATGCCTGGTCAGCCAAGCCCTGGGTTTCTGCTCAGGCTGACAGCTGTGAGTGTGAACTGCAGTTCACAGCAGCACTGGCACTGGGTACTCGCCTCAAAGATGAGCAGTATCCTGGTGTCCCTGAGGTAACGTTCGTAGGGATAATCTTTCATATAGCCAAGGCCTCCAAGGATCTGCAGAGCTTCACTCACACAGGCCCAGGCACCTTCAGAGCTGAACACCTGCCAGGGAACAGGACTTGAACCATCAGGAAATACCAAAGAGAAATCAGCAGCAATACAGGACACGCTTCTCTGGGGGTGTATTTACATGACACTGCTGTAATATTTTCTACTGCTGTTCCACCAGTCCTGTTAACTTGCCTGAAATAGCAGCCCTGTGGGGTGTAAACTTTGGTTAAACTCAGTGCCCTTGCAATCCACAAGGAAGTCTCTACGAGGACATATTCTGGGGAGAGGGGCAGCCATACACCGGCAGAAGAGCTCCAGGTGGTTGGCTGGAGCCTTTCATGCTGCCCAGGTTCACCAGAACACAGATTTCTGCACTGACCACACTCCAAGGGACCATCGGCGGGGCTGGAAATGAGGGAGGGAGCCCTGGGCAGGGACACACCAGCACACAGGGCCTGGCTCTCCCTCAGGATTGATGCTGCAACCATGGGACAGGAGCACTTGGCCAGGCTGGCAGTGGAACTGTGACCAAGTGTCTCTGTGCTCTTGTGAGGCCTCACCAGAGGCTCAGGAGGGCCATGACATTCCCAACACGTGTCTGCAGCTTGTATTTTGTGTGGTGACAAAATCCCGAGTCTGAGGAAATTAATGGTATGTGGGCTACAGAGAGAACAGGAATGTTTATTTGTTCATCTGGCTGAGGTTTTTCTATCACTTGTCTAATGCAACCCCTGAGCCTCTGAGCACTTTGAGCACATAGACCGAAACACAGGAGTCCTTCACTGAGTCTACCTGATCCTCACCTTGACCATGGCTGCCTCCACGGAGCAGTCTGGGAAGCCTGGCCTGTCCATCATCCCTGCAGTGAGGTAAGCCATACTCTCCATTACATATGCTTTCACAGCCATAAAACAAAACTTCTCCTGTCAAACAGCAATGTGAGGAATCACACAGAAATTCAGGGGCAAAATCCCACAGTCAAGCCTCCAACTTAAAAACACAACTGCAGTTTCCACACGTTTATTATCAAACACTAATCAATAAAAAGTTCTACTGCAAAACAATCATGAACAATAAAAAAATAAATATCTTTATTCATTTATCATTCTAGACATTTAAAAGATCATCTGTGCTACATTTCCATAAATCTAAGACTTCTAGCAAATTCTTTAAAGCACTCTGCCAAGATACCCCCAACATAATCTGTGTCCTTGCACTCAGTCAATACAAGCAGAGAGGTTTAGGGGTTTCATTTTTTATTACCTGAATTAATCCAAATTGGCTGAGTCTCTTATTGAACTGTTTCCTGGTACAAGCATATTCTGATGTCATTTCTTTAAAAAAAGAAAAAGAAAAAATCCATGTCAGAACAGCAGAACTAGAACTGTGACAGGCCATGGTGCCTTTCCCCATGGTGACACCTCAGTCTACACCAGTAACCCCCACTTTGGGAAAAACACCCTCAGTGATGGTGTTGATCCAGTCTGGGACCAGCCTTTCAAAGGCTTCTAAACCTGAGCCTGAGGTGTGAGCCTGTGCTCTTAGAGAAGTAATCAATTTTGGTGCAAATCTGTTGCTATTTTGGCTAATTATTGGCAGTATTATTCCTTATTACTGTGCCTAGCTTTGAGCCAGTTATTCAAGTGGAGGTTCTGTGTGAGATTACATCTTGTGAAAGCAGTGGCATAGAGGCTTTTCTCTTAGGAAGAACATTTTACCTCAGAAAAATTCAACAGAGGCAATAACCTTCCACTGCGTGAACTGACAAAAATCTTCAGTGTAAAGCCTCTGTAAACAGGCTTTTAATAACCACTTAAGATACATATTTTAGTGCTTTAAAGATGTCATGGCTGACAATGCAGCAGTGCTGTGATCCAGACTCATGCTCCCACCCTGCATTCTCTCCCTCAGGCAGATGAGTTCCTGCACTGCAGAGCACCCAGCTCACCCACCTATCAACTTTTTAATCATTCCAGCAGATGCACTGCCCATGCTGAATCTTCCACTGTTTAGGATATTCATGGCAACCTGGGAGGAAAATGAATGGGGTTTAGGCAACATTCTCCTTAGATCACAATGGTTCCTTCTATCTTGCTTCACGCTTTAATGCTTCCCTGCATTTCATTCCTCACTGGAACACACTTCCTGGCCTGGGACACCTGCCCTCAGTGAGCCAGCACAGCATTCCAGGGGAAACACTTCAAAACCGGGCTTTTACTGTCACTCACTACATCAAATTTTATATTTGAAATAGTTTTCAGAGACTGATGATCCAGTGACCTGGAAATAATCTCTATTCAAAGTACATGAAGGTAAAATGTAGATAAAAATGTCTTTATCTGCAGCTAGATAAACAACATTCCAACTAGACAGCACTGCTCTGGTTTATAAAAAAATGAAGAAAACCACAATATTGTTTGATTATATTATTTATATTTATAAAATCCCCTGCAGCTGACCTGCAATGGATGATCTCTGCTTCAGATTCCTTCCAGCAACATACCACAGAAGGGAACAAGAATGAAAGGTGTAGAAATGAAATACAGATCAATAATGGACAAAACCAGATTTTGGAATATAGTGTTAATGTTTCTTAGCAAGAGACACATGGGTGACAGGTCAAAAGACCTAACAAAGAAGTTATTGTTCCTACATTTTAACTTGTGATAACTAGATCTCAAGAGGAAAACAAAAACCTTCTTTTAATCTTTACTACATTTAAGAAAATTATTTCATTTAACATTTAGGACTGGACTTGGCTGCTAGAGGAAGAGTAAGACACTGAGAAGGACCAGTAAGAGCAAAGGGACTGGTGGTGTCTTTATTGGTGTCCCATTTCCATGATGGCAGGAAGAGCAGCCAGTGCTCAGGCAGCTGGTCAGGCAACTCCTGTTCTTGTTTCCTTGTGCAATAATCCAACCCTGGAAAACCACCTGACAGCCAGGGGACCTTGGACAGGACCTGGGCTTTCCTGGAACCATTGCCTGTTCCACTCATTTCTCACTCTCCCTTTCCACACAGTTCACAGTTGTGGCTGTAGGAAACAGTAGGTGACACTCCCTGACTGAGCTCAGGCTGAAGAAGTCTCTCCCTTTTCTGAAGGGAACGTCACACCCCAAAAAGCAATCAAAACCCCACAAAGAGCAGCACCAGCCTCTCTAACTGCACTGGGATACACAGAGACCTGACGTTCCAGGGAACCGATTTACACAAGCACAGCAGGGAGGAGCAGTCTCTCCTCAGGACCCTTCAGTGTGGCAGTGCTCAAACTGCCCACAGGGAAACTGCAGTACAGGGGACAAAAACAGTCTCCTTCAGGCTTTTAAAAATCATCAGTAGTTACTGTCCACTGCTTACCTTAAATCCACCTCCAACTTCTCCAATTACATTTTCTACAGGCACTTTGGTGTTTTCAAAATGTACTTCGCAGGCTGAAACACAAAATTAGCAGCTGTTCAAGTATGACACAAAAATATTTAAAAAACATTCAGGAACATAAGTCAGTATTTGTCACAAGAAATGAAGGTTTCCTAATGCATTGTTTATGACAGAATTATACATGCTTTGCCAGAGAAGTGAGAATTTGGGAAAAGGCTGTTGACATCAATGACTGATGTAAAACATTAAAAATGTAATTACTGTACATTGTGTAAACAGAGAACTACAGTTGTGTCTTTATTTTGTCTCAGTTCTAAGGAACTGATTCAGGAATCAAGTCCAGGAGACAGATGGTGAAAAGCTGTAATCATTAATAAGCTTAAGAAGAACTGATGAAGTCTTCCAGATTAAAGTTTTTGGCTACTGAATCTCCTGAGTGATTTCTGTCACTGCCCAGTGAGGAAACCTGCACAATATGGATTTCTTATTTCAGATCCTGCATTAGGAAGGGCTCATAGGAAAAGCCAGGTAAAGAAACATGAAACTTACACTGTTATATGGAATAGATACTGATCTGCCTCTGAATTCAGGTCAACTAAACTAAATAAACCATTAAAATATTAAACTCATTTCCGTTAGCAACTGTAAGTGATTCTTACTATTGGAGCCTCGAATGCCCAACTTATCCTCAGGCTTCCCATGGGTGACTCCCCCAAAATCCCGCTCCACGATGAAAGCAGTGATTTTGTCTTTCTTCTGCCCATCTTTATCCACAACCTCTGTCCTGGCAAACACTGTGAAAATACTTGCAAGGCCACCGTTGGATATCCAAACCTGTTTTAAGAGAGGAAAGAAGTGTAAGAAATACATTTGTTCTGGTTTTGTGAGCACTATTCTGAAGGGTTTCGTAACAGACCGGGCAGAGAACAGAGTGGTGAAAAATTGCTGCTTCTTCCCTTAAATTCTAACGAGTGTCTGCTACTAGTTTTGCCTCTTGTGCACATGTTTCCAAGGAGAGCTGACCACAGGTGGTAAAAGTTTAGAGCAGCTATAAACCCAGGTTTAATATCAGTATGAACTGAATTAAAATCCACGGTGCATTTCCCCAAAGCTTGGATGCCCTGCTGCTTGCAGCATGTGAGGGAGACGAGGGAAGGCAGACTGCAGAAATCCTGTGCCCAAAAATCTAACTCTGATGAGAAATTCTCTGATCAGGCCACATTTCTGTACAGCCTCTCCTACAGGGTGGGTCTCTTCACATCACAAACACATCAACAACTACAGATCAAGTCTGCAATGTATCCCATGCTGCTGAAGCCAGTACATCTCTACATTTCTTATTTTCTTATGCTGTATTTTACCATTTTTTCTTTTAGCAGAACTGTTCCAAGCAGCCCCATTTCCAATTAAATGTCAAGTTTTCTTTTACGAACACCTACAAAATCTGGTCTGAAGAATGAAGAGAGAGGAAAACATGAGTTTAGGTTTGTTTGTGCCTATGCTGTCACAGAGGGGGCTAATTAACTAACTAACTAACCAACAACTCTGAAGCTGAACCCACAAGCTGGTGATAGAGAAGGAACTTAGGAGTGGGTTTCTACTTTCCTACCAAGAATTTAGTGCAGTTATTCCCTAACAGTGCTTTTCTAGTCTCTTTGGCCCTAAACCAACCCAGGGTGTCTTTTTGACACGGTCAGTCTTCACCAGCTTGGACACCTCCCAGTTCAAGGCAGCTGCCACACCAGCTTCTTCCTTAGCCAGACTGATGGCAAAGCTGCACTGACATTTGCTGTGCACTTGGAACAAAAGCCTGTCCTATTTCCAGCCTGGCACTGGGTACCTTGGAGCCATTTAACAGGAAGTATTTCCCATCTTCACTGAGGGTTGCTCTGGTCTGGATGGATGCAGCATCACTCCCACTGAAAAACAAACAAGTTATTAATGTTTAAAGAAATAAACACGTTTTTAAAAACAAAACTCCCCTCTTCACATCCTTCAACAAGGAGAGTTTACAGGTCTGTTAAATAGCAGTATATAAATATTAGTTTTTAACTAACAATGAAGCTTACCGATTCAACAGCTCCAAAAGTTACCTGAGGGGACATTCCTGCTCGTTACCATGTATGTTATCACGCTTAGGACCTGACCAGAGTGTTCACAATGCCACATAAGCAGCTTTTTTTGAGCTGCATGTCGAGCTATGTGAACACACAGTGAAACTGTCATCCTAAAACACACCAAGTTTAACAAGTCTAAGTCGTTCCTCAAAAATTCACACCCTGGTTTTATATCTCATGTGAAAAAAGGCTCAACAGACATGAAAAATAAATGTGTGACAGTCTCTATCAAAGAGCACTTGGGCACACCAAATACCTTCTACAGGAGCAAAATCAGCAAGCAAATTACAACAATGCAATCAGAAGTTTACACTCTGTGATTAAGTTCACCCTCCCTCTTGCATCACCACCTTACTCCATAACTCAGTCAGCTCAGTCTCCCCCTTGAAAGAGGTTTCCTCCTCCACAAATCACAATGCCACAAGGCTCACTTGGGGTGTTCAGCTGCGGACAAGGGTGAAGTTCTCAGAACAGCCAGAGCTCAGTTGGTATTTTAATAGGATTAGATGGCTAAAGTTCAGTTCTAAAGATGATTGGTCTGTGCACTAGAACTGAGATCTCTAAGAAGACTGAAGCTAAAGACCAGAAATCTTTTTAAAGAACACTGGGGTAGGAAAGATGTCAGAAGAATTCCAGAACATGGCTGGCCCTTGTTTTTCTCCTGTGTGTTACTTATGAGTCCCTTCAGTGGATTGCTTGGTTAAAATATCTGCGCTAGTTTAACTTTCACCTGCAAGTGGGACAGCTTTTAGAGGGTCACAGCCCAGCTCAGGACCCTTGAATAAAACCATCCCTGAGGTCTGGGAGCAACAAGAAAATCAGCAATTAATCAAACACTGACTGGAGGTCAATTGAGCAGACAGCAGCTCAGGAAAGTTTCAGGCTGCAGTTTGCATGGACAGGCAAGATTCAACTTCAGACACTCAGCTGGTCTCAGTCCTTCCACCAGTTTCCTTTACAGGCTCCCTGTGCGCTTTCCACAAACTGTCCCTCTTCTGCACTAATACATTTGCAACATTAGTGACAGTCAGTGAGTAACTGTAACAAATACCTTATCTTTGAAAAGCTGCTGATACAAAGATCCCTCTTCTGAACTCTAAGTAACACCCAAAATTCTTCCCATTATTTTTTGTATCTCCTTGAATACAGGTTTTTGTAACTTTGAACAAGAACTGAAAGCATCCTAGAACAGTCACAGCACATTACTTCTGACATAGCATGAAGTATCCTTTCAATTCATATTTAGTAATGCCAGAAATGAAGGAAATGAAATCCTGGGATGGGAACAACAACAGTTAGGGGTTTCATGGAAACTGCCACGAGTAGCACGTTGGGGAAGGAGTAATTAAATGGTCTGAAGTGTACCTTTAAAAACTAAAAATAAAAACCTGATTTGTACACTGAAGCAACAGGCCCCCAATAATAAAGACTTAATGTATTAACGAAGATGACAACCATGACCCCCTCTGGGTGCTGTGTGGAGGTCGGTGGACCCCAGGCAGTACCTGCCGGGCTCGGTGAGGCAGAAGGCTGCGATGTGCTCCCCTGAGGCCAGCCTGGGCAGGTACTTGGCCTTCTGCTCCTCAGTGCCAGCAATGAGGATTCCCTGCACAAAGAATCAGCACAAAACTGCTCAGCATCAGCCTGTGGAAAAAGACACGAAGCTGACCAGCTTCACCAAGTTCAGAAAGCTTTACTTGCACATTTTATGGATAACAAGGGACAGTTTAAGAAACAACAGACTTCATAACTTATCAGACACTAAAGTATTTTAAATTAGCATTGTCTGCTCAATTCCATGAGGAATTTTTTCATGAACTTACTTCTCTTTCAAGCTTCAGACACCATCCACCCACCAGTAAAAGGCTGTATTATACAGCAAACAAAAATTCACATGCTTGCTCTTGGGTGAGTTTTCTTCTCTAAGCTCCCCAGCCTGCAGTCTCATCCAGCTAGACAAAGTTTCACCCTTCTGAACTCTCTGCATGGCTGATACTGGTCTCCATAATGTTACCCTCTGTGATACTTTATTTACTTCAATATTTATTCTAGCTACATTCATCCAGTTTGCTCAATTAAAAAAACCTTGGATATTTAGAGCATTTTTTCTACGAATTCTTAGCTCTGTGTTTCCTGAACTCATCATTTTCTTGTGTACTTCTTGTTCAGTCTTTCTGCTGCATGAGAGCCACTGGCAGAGGGTGCTGGGGACACCAACAACCAATGCTCCACCTGATTGATGCTTCACTGGTGATTCTGATTTGTTGTACCCACACTGCACATTTTCCATGACAGTTGTGCAGAACTCCTGGACCTAAAAGAGCAGCATTACCTTCAGCCCAATAGCCTGATGTGCTGCCAGAGTGACTGCAATGGATCCATCCAGGGAAGTGATCTCTCCCAGCCGGGCGTACATGGTGTTTGACAGGCCCAGGCCACCTGCAACAAGAAGAACAGTTTATTTGAAGGAGATATAACTTGCCCCTTCCCCCCAAAAAATCCCTTCCAAGTACAGAAACATTAGGAATGTAACACTGTTAACTGGAGAGAAACAAAACTGGATAGTTTGTTCCCAAGTAGACTTCCAAACTGGTACTAGACAAGGGTAAAATCTAACACTTCAAAAATGTCTTTAATAAAAAAATGTGAATATACCAAGAAACAAACCTGACACCAGCACATGCTTCCTGGAGGAAGCAGGATAAATCAAAGCTGTACGTTTATGAGTCCAATGTTCAGCAATTTTACGCTGTCAGGACCAGAAGTCCTGCTTGCTGTCATTTAAGATAATTTTATATATTACCGGTGAATAAAAAATTTAATCTAATCAAGATAATAATCTTTTGTCCAGGGTAACAATTTTCTACGTGGGACAGTGGTGTAAGTCAGGGTAACACGTTCCTTACTCCTGCAGATGTCTCGACAGCCCTGCTGGTGTGTGTACGCTGAATAAACGCAGCAACAGTCCCCGATACCATTAACTCACATCACTGCCTCATACACCCTTCCCCTCACACAGACTAAGAACACCCATTTATGGATTAACTCTCACACTCCCCCTGTACTCTGTACTCTGACTTCTTTTCCTCTTTCCAAGCAGTGCTGGGCTCAGGATTCAGCCTGGAGAATCCTGATGATGTGCACAGCAGTAACTCCAGTGATGCCCTTGTTAGAGCTGATATTCCATGATCCACAGGAGCTTCGTTTTCCCCATTAAATTTCTGTACTTCAGTGCTTCTGGCAAAGAGGTCACTTTTACAAACCATGATGAAAAACACTGTGCAGTGCACAAAGCCCTGATCGCTTTGACTGAAAGGTTTTAAAATATGACAATGCCAGCACCAAAAATAAATCATGTTTAACCTACAAAAAATGGGGAACAACCTCATCAGAAGTATATAATTTATGGTGCAGACTAGAGGAGCTTGTTTAAGCTGCTTTCCACATTCTGGTTTGATCCAGCATCTAAGTTTACAACACCACAAGCCGTTGATTTTCCACAAGTGTGCTGAGTGGGTTGCAAATTTGCAAACTGGAAGCTGAGAGAATATTATTTCATAAGCATCAAAACAACAAGAACATGTTATTAAATTAAAGTATGACTTCAAAGTTAAATACATTGCCTTTGAGAGTCTTTAAAAAAATAGAGTGGGAAACGTATTTTTAGTTAATCAATAGTAAGTTACACTTCCAGTGTCATGGTGGTTCCTAATGCTCTGCTTTGAGCTCTGTCCTTTGTTCCCTGCCTCCAACACCTCCTTTCTATGGACAGGAACCTCCTGCCTTCTTCCAACATATTTCTTAACTCCTAAACACCTCTCTCTTCCCACCTGGGTTAAGGTGCTCTGTCCAGATCCTTCTCCTCCCAAGACACCATCCTGAAGAGCAAACCTTGAAAGAGCTGGCAAGCCTCTTCTCTACCTCACCCTCACCCCACCCTGCCTAGTTCTGAACACACATGAAAAACAGTTAATAACATTTTTTATGCATTTCAAAAGCATTAATCAACAATCAGTTAACCGGAGACCACACCATGTTACAGCATATGCCACTTGTCTGATATACTTTAATGAATTTGTATATAGACTTAAACTGAAACCAGTGCAGCACAGCAACACTAGTTATACTGCCTAACATGATAACAAAATGCTACAAAAAACAACAGTATTACTTTAGCAACAAGTAAATGCTGAAGAATGTCTCCAGCTTTACACAGAATTATTGTAAACACTGAAAAAAATATTTTGTTTCATGCCATTCTGTTCAAAAATGAGGTATTTTCCCCAGTGAAACTGTCTTTCTCTGAGCTTTCTCCTCAACATCCCTTTGCAATATTCTCATTTCTTTATACATTTCAATGCCAATTTTTAACTTATGAGTAAAAACAGGATCAAAATTTTCTTGAAAACTCCTTTGCAAGTGTAAGGGTTAGTCCAGTGAGGAATTAATGTCTATGATGCCAATTGGCAGCACAATGCCCTTTAGGACATGAACTGTTCAGTATTGCACAGGAAGGATTTTATCCAAAAGCCATCCTTTCAGTAAACAGACATTATACTTTTACACTTCCAAGTGCTCCAGCACATTCCTACCTGCCAGTGACAGCTTTGATAGGTCACTATGAGACACTGCACTTTGGACCCAGCACAAGTTTAAGAACCATCAGCAAGAACAAGTCTCCCAGAATGTCAAGTTTCTCTACTGCATCCAAAAAAACAATCAAAAAGGGAAATGCTATGCCAAGAGGAATTTACACCAGCTAAAATTAGTCATGGCACCCAAGGGAAGGGCACACAGAGCTCCTCACACAGCCACCAGGCATTCCTGTATTAACCAGAGAGAAAGCCCCAGCTCCTAATTCAGCCAAGACCACACATGGAACAGCACAGACACATTTTGCAATGCACCACTAAATACAGACTAACTCCTGGGTTATTCCTTTTGTGACCATGGACTCACCATATTCCTCTGGGATCTGCATGCCAAAGAGACCCAAGTCCTTCAGCCCTTTCAAAGTTTCAGGTGGGATTTTTGCATCTTGATCGATCTTCTTTGAGTCCACTGCAAATACAGAAGGTTTTACCATTTCAAACTGTGCTTCTTAGTGACACAAACCTGTGAGACTGCCCAGGTCTCTGTCAGGGCATGCCCTGAGCCAGCAGCACAGGGATCTCAGACCTGTCATCAGCCTGAGAGCCCACACCTGAAGAATTGAGCCAACTCCCCACATCCTCCCTGCTGGAATTCTTCTCCAATCTTCTGAAGGAACTTCAGAGAAGACACAGTGCTCATGACAAATGGAGACAGACTTCTCATCCCCGGCTCCACCAGAATTCCTCCTTCTAGCTTCAACCTGATCTTACCAACTGTCCTGTTTGCCCTCATAACATATGCAGGAAAAGGACTTGGAAGTGGGAAAAATCTGGGGTTTATTTCATTTTCTCAAATATTTCTATACGTACAGGTTGTATGTGTGCATGTCAGCATATTCCAAGACTGGAATAAGCAAAAGATTCCCAGGATTTTCTACCTGAACAATGGCTAAGTCATGAGGGAAAAAAAATGAGTTAACTACAAAATCTTGTTCTTAGAAGTTTTTCCAGTTCCTGGGGAATTAAAAGAGCTGTTCTGTACTGTTGCAGTGAAAATAAACAGGAATCATGTTAAGCAGCTCAGGAAGGCTGTAAGCTGCAGCAGAGGGAACACAGCCACCTTTCCAAAAATTACACAAGAAGTAACTCTGCAAAAGCAATGGAGCTTCCTAAAGAAACCTCACATTCACCCCAGTGAAAGGGTGCTGGAACTTCTGTGTGAACATAGCAGGGGGAGGCAACCAGACATTCTGATCTTCTTCTGACAGAAGTTATTCAGAAAGAAAACTCTTCAAACAACATTTTTTGCTCCCCATGCTAATTTTTTAGCTCCATTGCACCAGATCCTTATCTGTGGAGTGTCCTCAGCTGTCCCAGGGAGAGAGTGAGTTGTGGTGTCAGGACATTGTCAGGTTTCCAGTGACTCTGCTGAGATGAGTTTCCTTTCCCAGTGCCAGTCCCACCAAGTTTCTGTTTAGGGCTGCCCTACTGACCCATTTTAACCACACCCCTAAGTTACCCTGAATAACTAAACAGAAGTAGTTGGGAATTCAAAGATGAGCAATTTCTACCTGCAGTTAAGACTCCATAGTTTGGCATTTTTATTCCTCCCTTAAACAGCAGGTTTTTTACTCCATAAATTAATTTCCCCAACAGAGCAAAGAAATAAAAAGTGTAATTTGAATAAATTCCTTATTTCCTGTCAGTAAGCAGCAATACAATTTTACAGTTAAAATGACCTGTACCTCACAAATTGTGATCTGTGACAATCACTAGCTTCTCCAAACTCCTGCAGTGTTTGGAAACCCAGACCTGGCATCTTTGTCAGTGGGAAGTCTGAGACAATACTGTTTAACTGCCTCAGTATTTGCTGTCTGTAAAAACCAATTTTGTACAGCTGTTCTGGAATTGGCTTATCCATTGCAGCACTAATGGAAGGAACACCCTGCAGCCCTATCTAGAATGCACAGGGCTAATAAGACTTTTCCTAAATAGAATCATTAGTCTAATGCTGAAAAAACACAAATACCTTTGATTTTTCCCAATGAGTCATCATTTATTATTATCTCTTCTGAATTTTGCTACAACCAGTCTTAGCAGAGTAAGACATTTAAAAGTTTCAGGAAAAAAAAAATCACAATATATGAAGCGGTAAAAAGTACAGTTCTACTGAGCTAAAACCAGTTTCAAATCCTACCTCTATCCCAGAGGTATATCCCTCTACCTATGCCTCTATCTTTTACTTCCTGGGGTTTTTTTTCTGGTTTGGAGATTTATGTCTTCTAGTCAGCATCCCAATACTCCACAAAAAAAATCATCAATGGACATGCTGTAGAACCAGCAGCACTACGTGACTAGTAATAAATGCATAAAATGACTTATGTATTTACAGTGTAACAATAATTATTCAACTGCTCCAGTTAAATTATTTTGAACTCAGTAAATCACTTGCATGAATAAAAAACTAATAATATACCTTCTTCATTGAAAAATTTTTCGACAGGTCCAACAAACTGGTTGATCTCTGCCAGTTCTTCATTGGTGATTTCTGGATAAGGGAAAACTTCTTTCTAAAATAAGAGACAATTATTTTAGATTTTTTTAATACATGAATCACACAATTCATATAAAAATTCAAGAACATATGCCTCTCAAATTCTAGATGAAAAGCTGTGAAAATTAAGAATTGGGGAAAATATTCTGAGCCAGGAACAGCCTTATCTGATAAGGCCCAGAGGGCTCAACTTTAATACATACAAAACCACCTGAAAAACAGGAACATTAGGGGGAAATAAAGAGATTTTTAAGAACTGTGAGAACAGCAAACCGTAAACCCTGGATTAACAAATTCTGGTTGATACAGTGTTCTGTCTGAAATTTGTCTGGTGGCATCTCAAGACACAACAAGAATTCCAACCTTTCCTATAAAAAATGTAGGCAGAAGTTTACATGAAGTCTTGATCCTTCAAGTAAAAAGAAAGCATAAACTGCCATAGTTTTGTGGAATGCCCAGGGTACACACACCTGTGTTTCCAAAGGGAATTTCCTAAGCTTGCAAGAACGGGCAACTGTGGTTTAAGGCAGCTCTTCAGGTGCTGGTTGTTGGGAACATTTAGAACTCCACGGTGCATTTTGTGTGCACAGGTGCCAACAGGTCACTGCAGTTAACCCAGCTCCAGTGGGGGGGCAAGGGAAACCCTGAGAGCAAACAGGCCTGGGCTGCACTGGGGAGCAGTGCAGGAAAGGCAGGTCCTGCCTGACCAACCTGATCTCCCTCTACAACAAGGTGAGCAGCTCAGGGGGTGAGGGAAAGGCTTTGGATGTGAACCTGGATGCAGGAAAGCCTTTGACACCCCCAGCATTCTCCTGGAGACGCTGGCTGCTCATGGCCTGGATGGGACACTGCTCACTGGGCTCACAACTGGCTGCTGGCCCAGGGAGAGGTGGGCAATGGAGCTCCATCCAGCTGGGAATGGGCACCAGTGGTGGGCAATGGAGCTCCATCCAGCTGGGAATGGGCACCAGGGGGTTACACAGGGGTCAGTGCTGGGGTCAGTTTTGTTTAATGTCTTTATCAATAACCTTGACAAGGGGATCGAGGGCACCCTTGGTCAGTCTGCAGGTGACACCAAGGTGGGCAGGAGTGCTGATGTGCTGGAGGGCAGGAAGGCTCTGCAGAGGGATCTGGACAGGCTGAGGTTCATGGACCTCGTCTGAGGTTCAACAAGGCCAAGAGCCAGGTCCTGCCCCTGGATCACAACAAGTCCTGCAGTGCTACAGACTGGGGGCAGAGGGGCTGGGAAGCAGGAAAAGGCCCTGGGGGTGCTGGTGACAGCGGCTGGACGTGATCCCAGGTGAGCTCAGGGGGGCAAGAGGCCAATGGCCCCCGGGCTGTGGCAGCAGGGCCGGGGCACTGCCCGTCCCCAGCGCTGCCGGTCGGTGAAGGGGCACCGCCACCCCGAGCCCCGCCGTGTCCGCCCGGCCCCCGCCCGGCCCCCGCCCGGCCCCCGCCCGGCCCCCGCCCGGCCCCCGCCCGGCCCGGCGGTCCCACCTTGCTGAGGGTGCCCAGGAAGAGCTCCTTGGCGAAGGCGGCCCTGGGCGCGGCCGTGCGCAGGTGGCGGGCGGCGGGACCGGCCCGGGCGGCGCGAAGGGTCCGCAGCAGCAGCGCGGCCATGGCGGGCTCGGCGCTCCCTCACGGCGCGGCCGTGACGGCACCGCTGCGCGCCGGGGCCGCCCTCAGCCCTCCTTCCTTCAGCCCGCCCTCAGCCCTCCTTCCCTCAGCCCGCCCTCAGCCCTCCTTCCCTCAGCCCGCCCGGGGCCTGGCCGGGCCGCCGCCGCTTTGGGCAGAATTGCCGCAGGAGCGGGAACGGAGCCGCCCAGGGGTCCGCCCGCCCCACTTGCCACGGCCCTGCCCAGTCACCCAGCAGCAGCTACAGACGATGAACCGGATAATGTAATAATAATGATAAAATAATAATGAACAATATTTTTTGACACGCATAGGATGTCTTAGAATCGCCTTCCTGAACCCGAAGCATCGGTGTAGGGCGGGGTGGGAACAAGCTAACCTGCTGCAGGCGGGGGAGCACCGGGTGGATGTGCTGAACACACTGAGCTGATGGAACGGCCACAAAAGCTCCATCAAAGCCTAATTTCTCCTAATGCGAGTGTCTGGCTCGGGAGGAGGAGGATGGCAGCACCGACAGCCCTCACCCGAGCGGCCCCGCTCGCTCAGTGTCCCACAGCGGCCAAGACAAACCCCCAGGACGGTGCCTTGCGGCGAACGCTGCCCTGCACCGAGGATACTTGGATTTGTACTTCTCCTTTGCTCCCCCCTGCCATGCCTTTGGCAGCAGGTTTTGTCTTTTTTACAAACCCAAGTGCCACAGCCATGTGAAATTACTGAGCTTGTCACCCGACACTGAAATCTGCTTCAGAAACACTCACCGCTCCCCTCCTGACAGAGGGCACCGCTCAGCTCTGCTGCATCACCACCCACCGTGCTGCTCTCATCTGCTCACCCACACAGAAGGGCCTTCTGAATCATTTGTTTGAAATATTTAAGTGTTTTAAAGGCTGCCTTTAGTCTCTTGAAGCTGCCCTCAGTTTGCTTTGGTCTGTGAGGAACTGCTCAACGCTCAAATGGCATTTACCAGAAGGGCAAGTACTAAAGGTAAACACAGGCCTAATGAGCTCATTTATCTTGCTTAGTTTACTTGTGACTTGTAAAATGTAAATCCTTTAATCCTGTAATCCAAATCAGTTGCCTTTTTGGTTGCCTCTCAGGGCCTGTATTGCAACTGGGGAACAGGAAGGACTGAGGGTGAGGCAGCTTTGCTCCCTGCTGGGTTTTTGTGTCTGTGTATCTGTCTTCCCACCGCGGGACCCTCAGTCCTGAGCACTGCAGGCGTGTCAGGGTGTGCCAGAGCCCTGCACAGGTGGGCAGGTGCTGAGCCAGAGGGGTCACACACGTGTGTGACACGGAGCCAGAGGGGTCACACAGGTGTGTTACACCAAGCCAGAGGGGTCACACAGGTGTGTAACACTGAGCCAGAGGGGTCACACAGAGTAATCACACACGTGTGTAACACTGAGCCAGAGGGGTCACACAGAGTAATCACACACGTGTGTAACACCGAGCCAGAGGGGTCACACAGAGTAATCACACACGTGTGTAACACCGAGCCAGAGGGGTCACACAGAATAATCACACACGTGTGTAACACTGAGCCAGAGGTGTCACACAGAGTAATCACACACGTGTGTAACACCGAGCCAGAGGTGTCACACAGAGTAATCATACACGTGTGTAACACCGAGCCAGAGGGGTCACACAGAATAATCACACACGTGTGTAACACTGAGCCAGAGGGGTCACACAGAATAATCACACATGTGTGTAACACTGAGTCAGAGGGGTCACACAGAATAATCACACATGTGTGTAACACTGAGCCAGAGGGATCATACGGGTGTGTAAAACCGAGCCAGAGGTACCACACACGTGTGTCACACTGCACCTCTGGGAGCAGGTGAGACATGGTACTGGTTTGATGGGGAGTCAGCCAGTGTTGAGTCCAAACCTCTGTGGAACTGTGAGGGAACAAAGCATCTCAGCCAGAAGGGTTTTTCTTTTCACAGACTCCTTGATCCCATGAATTGTAACTATTAACTGGGACAAGATGAAACTGCTGAGTGCTTGTTTTGTGACGGCCTCTTGAAGGGTAATTTTTGACAATCTGTGCCAACTCCCTGTCTCTGTACGAAACATGAGTGCCTTATTTGTGAGAGAAGAGCCAGCCCCCTTGGCCTGCCCTTTGATGAGGGCAATAGATGGGAAAGGCTCCCTGCAGGACCCTGCTTCTCCATAAGATTCCAATATTGGCACAGTTGTGTGGTTACAGGAATACCCCAAGCTTTTCATCTCCACATGTTCACTTCTGGTTAAGTAATGTTGTCCTACTTCTAGTTTTGAAGGGTGGAAAAGCAGAAGGTGATATCTAGTCCTATCAGAAAAGAAAGGAATGGGGAGCACTGAGCTGACTCCAGCATTGTGCAATCTGTGGGGTGCACTGATAACATGCCACTGCTCTTGAGGTGCTGGTATCTGTAGGTGGTTGATGGCATGGACAGTAAGGGCAAAAGCCTGCTCAGGCTCATGACACACGGGGTTAACTGAGCAGAGGCCTCCCCACAGGATGTCACTGAGGGGACCCTGTCTGGCACTGCGGTGAAATGGTGGAGTGCTGAAGACAAGGGATGCCCCACCAGTGCCACATCTCAGTTCTGGACAGACAACACTGTCCTGGGGGTCAGGAGAAGAGGTGTGGGTTCCACAACTCCTCCCAGACTGAATATGCTAAGGATGAAAGGGCCAAAGCTGAGGCCACCTTTACTGAGACAAGTCTAACTGGTTCTGGTTTGTACAAAGGGGGTGATCTGGCAACTTTGAAAGAAAGGATAAACAGAGCACAGTAAAAGGCTGCTTGAAGAAAATCATCCAGTGAAAACAAGGCTAGGCAGTTGGGAAACAGGGAAAAGATGCCTCATCAGGAAGTTCAAAAGAACTGAAGCAGCAGCCAGCACACTCCACCCCGTGTGTTCATTCAGTGAGCATGAGAATGGGATTGTGAGCATATCCTAAACAAACGCCTGGGTGTTTTCCAATCCCAGTGGATGATATCATACCCATATATGAAACCACAAGCAGACCATCACTTGCACAGAGAGAATACTTTATGTTCCTGCACTGACACAAATGGTGCCACACCACATATTTTGTCCCATCCATGCAGCAATTCCCAGTGTTGTGTGTGAGCAGAGTTGGAAGCACACTCCTGGCAGCTGCAGCTCTCTGCAAGTGTCTGTAACACCGAATCCCACCACCGTGACCTGTAATGTCTTCAAGCTGCACTGCACAGAACCGCACAGTCTGCTAAAATTAAAAAAAGTACTTTTCCCCTTCTGCTTCAGCAACATTTCCAGTCTTTTTCTTTCCCCACTTTTATTTACAGCTCATCTCTGCTGTCTCTGACACTCAGCTATTCATCCACATGGTCACATCACTCCAGCTTCCCTTCCTGGGCCAGTGAATCCCTCAGCCATTACAGCTCTTCAGAACTCACACTTTGTGATCAACATGACTCCCACAGTGTTTATTTCAGTTTATTCCACACAAAGTGCTTCCTTGAGAAGGAATTAATACAAGGGAGACAGAGATCAGTAAATGAGGATCATACAATCACCCTTCAGTTTTCCTTTTTACTCTTCCATATTTTTCCAGCAGCTGCTTAAAAACTGGTATTCAATAATATAATCACCTGGTAACATTTAGCTCCTTGAAACACGGATGTTTTACTTACTGAAAAAGTGCCACTGTAGGTCTAAATTACTGTATAAAAATATTCACCATCTTTGCTGCAATTGCAGGAAAACACACACAGCTCCTCCTCTGTCTATGCAATCGTTCGCTCCTTTTCAACAGACAGATGGTATGAAAGTTTTGCACTTGACATTCATAGTTGCCTTTCCCACAGGCATGTGATGATGTGCTCATTGCATCACCCCCGTCTCCGAATATTTAAAAAACCCCTGCCTCACAAATGAAATCCTGGGAAAGGTGAGAGCAGGAACTGGTATTTCCACTCTTGCTCCTGGTTACATGCTGTGGAAGCAAAGTGATGTGTTTGAAACACACATATTAACACTGTCACTGTAGGAATACGTTTGTCCAAGCTGCTGTGCATCCAGAATGACTGTACTGTGGCTGTCTTAAAAACCACCTGAAAAAGAAACAAATACAGATTGTCAGTGAAAGAAATTCCTCACAACATGAGGTGGCACTTCTAGGCAAATTGTCCATTAGCTCTGTCATGTTAGATTAAAGGAAGCATTAAATTATCTCATATTTTACGCATTTTAAAGTAATTTGAAATTATAAATTTATAAATGTGATTTTTTTTTCTTCACAGCCAAATAAGCTTTAATTTTTCAAGCAAGAAAAAAAAAGGACAAGCATTGTATTAAAATCAAGTACAATTTTTGCTCTGTGAAGGCAGAGAACCTAAACTCTCAGTCCAGGAAAGCAGCTGTTGCTGTGGGATTCCACAGGGGCACATTTGCAGATAAAGAGCAGCAGAGCAGCCTGGGCAGTGCTGGGTTTATGTCACACAAGTGACAGTGATAAGTGAGAGAACAAGGGGGGCTATAAAAAGACCTTGCAGTAACTGCATAAAGCACCTCTTGGCATTATTAATGAATGCAGAAGGGAGATGGGTCGAGAACCTCTTGGCCAAAATAAATTTTATTACACTAATACTGGGGAGAAGGAAGAAGCTCAGTGAGCTAAGGAACATTTTATTAATAATGCTTTAGTTCAATAATTTGCTTCACCCCAGATGAGGCATCTGTTTTCCCCCTTTTCATATATGGGAAGAGAAACAGATGACTCAAAATGCAAGTGTTTTTCTTCCAACTTTTTCTTTAAATTATTTCAAATCCACACAGTTAGGGGAATTGTTTAAGATAAGTCCCCTGTGATTCACTGCTAATATACAGATCTTTTTTGCATGAAGCTATGCTGGCAGTTTGCAAGTATGTTAGCAGGGTCATGAAATATTGCAATAGCTCAGAAAGCTCACAGTAATAGAAAAAAAAATTAGAAAGAGTAGAAACAAAGTTTCCTCCACCTTTAGGTATAAAATACAC